TATTCCAATTAAAGGAAACAGACACGCAGCATCTTCCAGACCCTGCACTTCAGAGTCCCACAGAAACGACCTGGGAGGGAATCACAGAATCTTCTAGGTTGGAAGGGACCTCAAAGATCATCTTGTCCAACCGTCAACCTAACTTTGACAAAAATAGACACCCGCACAACAAACAAAAAGCAACACCATCACTAAACCAGACCTCCCAGCACTACATCAACCCGTCTTTTGAACACCTCCAGGGATGGGGCCTCAACCCCCTCCCTGGGCAGCCCATTCCAATGGCTGAGAACCCTTTCGGTGAAAAAATTGTTCCTAATATCCAGCCTGAACCTCCCCTGGCGTAACTTGAGGCCATTTCCTCTTGTCCCATTGCCTGTGACCTGGGAGAAGAGACCGACCCCCCCTGGCTACACCCTCCTTTCAGGGAGTTGGAGAGAGCAATAAGGTCTCCCCTCAGCCTCCTCTTCTCCAGGCTGAACACCCCCAGCTCCCTCAGCCTCTCCTCACAAGACTTGTGCTCCAGACCCCTCACCAGCTTCGTTGCCCTTCTCTGGACCCGCTCCAGCACCTCAATGTCTTTTTTATGGTAGGGAGCCCCAAACTGGACACAGCCCTCAAGGTGGGGCCTCACCAGTGCCCAGTACAGGGGGACAATCACCTCTCGGGCCCTACTCCCCACGCTGTTCCTGATACAGGCCAGGATGCTGTTGGCCTCCTTGGCCACCTGGGCACACTGCTGGCTCATGTTCAGCCGACAGTTGACCAACACCCCCAGGTCCTTCTCTGCCAGGCAGCTCCAGCCACTCTGCCCCCAGCCTGGAGCGCTGCAGGGGGTTGGTGGGACCCAAGGGTAGGACTTGGACAGGAAGACAGGAATCACCTGAACTCAGGAAAGGCGAGACATAAAGGACATGTGGCCAAAGCACCGTTGAGTCTTGGGCATCATGAATAACCCTCTCTCCATTTCCACCCCACAGCAAAAGAGCACAGCCATGCTGTGAGCCCCGTTCCTGGGGAAAAGGGCTTGTCCTGACCAAACAACACGGCCTCAGCCTCAGAACTACCAGCAGACTCTCTGCTGAGTGCTGCCAGCTCCAGCAGCCTGGAGTAACACGATGAGATGGTACCACCTCAGCTCGTCTTTATGGAGCCGAGTTTTTCTGCTTTATCCAGAATAGAAAAATTCAATCTTTTCAACAAAGCTCTTGATTACTTCTGAACGCTGGACTGTTTTCAAAAAGACATGGGAAGTGAAACAAAGAACAAACTACTGAGTGTACAAATGCTGGCAGAAATATGGTGGCACACTGTTAAGTCTGAAATGATTTCCTGACTTCATACTAGCAGTACTTCAGTCCTGAGTCGTTAAGTACTTTCTTCACCGGACATTAACAAGTCTATCTGGACACAAAGAAGCATCTATACAGAACAATACCAATTTTTAATTTCTTCTAACAACCAACAGACACTTTAACTCACAAGGCAGGGTGATCTGCTCTAACAGCTCACTGCTGTTTACGTGGGAAGGTTTTGCCCCTCCTATTCTTACTCCCTCACACACACACACAGAGCTTCACACACAGTCTCTGTGGTGCTTGTCCAACATGTCCCTGAGCCAGTTCCAATCACCAGACCAGCAAAAATATTACTGAGAAAGAAAAAAAAAAGTGTTCAACTCGTGAAACAAACAAACACTATCTAAAAACAGGGCTGCATAACCACAAGAGACAGTATAAGGGGAAAGAGAGATGTACTCTGAAAAGGAGAACAAACACTCCTCCGTCACCAGTTTGCTCTTGTGTAACCTTTGCTGTGTATAAAATATACATTTATATATCCCTTTATCTTCCTGGTTTCATCTAGAAAGGTTCAACTCCTAGGTTTGCCTAACAAGCACGCCTTATTAGACCATTTCAATTTTCCACCTACAACTTAGGTCAGTATTTATTTCTTTAGATTTTTTTTCCACATACTTAGATTCCCAATTTCATGAATGTGCACTAGCCGAGAACACATGTGAACAAGGAGCAACCTCCACTCCAGTAACAAGGAAGTGAGTAGGTTCCAGGTTCCACAGAACAGCCATTTGTCTCAGAGCTGTCTTTTTCCAGCAGCAGGAGCTGTAACCCGGCAGCCGCAGGAAACACAAACACTCTCCTCCTTCGGCCTGTTCCACCGCCCGACAGAATTAACGGCGGGTTTAGAGCTTCCCAGGGCCGCGATTCGGGGTAGAAGCCCCCGACCCGCGCTGCCGGGCTCAGCCCTCCCGGTGGAACCCCTCCGTCACCCCTCCGGCCTGTGAAACACCGCCGGGATCGCCCCAACGGGAAAGCTGGCGGCCCCTCAGCCCTCGGGCCGCTCCCCTCCGCCTCGCCCAGCGCCTCCTGCGGACCGGACACCGGCGGCAGCGCCCACACGAGCGTTCTCTGGGCCGGAGCCCCCACCGAGGGGCGGCCGAGGGGCGGCACAGCCCCCGCCCCGTCCCCACAGACCCCGGCCCCGCCGCCGCCGCCTCACCCACCATCTCGAGCCGCCGCCTCTCCGCTCCGTCACGGCCCCGCGCGCATGCGCCGCCCGCTCGGCCAATCAGCGGGGAGGAAGGGCGGGGCGGGGCGCGCCCTGACCCGGAAGCGCCTGTCCCAGGGCGGGGACGGAGCTTCGCCCCCATCGCCTCAGGGCCCGGCCGCTGCTGCCGGGACCCGCCGCTCCTCCCGTGCGCGGCTCCGGCCCCTCGCGTCACCGTAACGGGGCGGGGAGGGGTGACCCTGCGTGAGCCCAGGCCCCGCTGACACACGCCTAGAGCGGCCGGGCCGGGGACAGCCCTCAGAACCCCCGCCTGCGGGCCCGGGGGCTCCCGTCAGACCCGTAAAGGGGCAGAAAGGTGAGCTGGTGAAAAAAAAAATGAAAATAATTCAAGTATTTGACATCACTGGCCCTTCAGAGCCGGCGGGGCTACTTCCCGCTCGGAGAAAACAGAAGATTCCTCCAGCAGACCCTGTCCCTCCTGAGGCGGCCATGGGTGAGGAGAAGACATGGCCTCAGCTCCCTCAGAGACCGGGGAGGAATCCTCCTGTAGGGTCCAGGAGATGGAGCTGGTTTCCCTTCTGCTGCACGTTTACAGCTCTGTAACCAAATTAAATCCCAATCTCTCTCATCACCCCAGCAATAAGTTTGAAAGCTCGGCTACAGGAAGGTATTTTACCTCTGATGGCTCTGATGGTCCCAGGGGATGGGATGGCGGAGGTGAGCAGTGCCCGGCCCCCAGCACGGCCCCAACCACACCAGGTTTTGGTTAAACTGGGCAGGGTTTAACCAAACCCAGCTCCACAGGTACAAAACCACCCCAACCCCACTCAGAGGGGCACTGCCACCAGCAACACCATCACAGGAGGAAGCAGCAAGGAACAATGCCATGGACCTGCACGTAGATCATGCCATGGTGTTACCCTCTATTGCACAGTGATTGTTGGGGGTTTTTTGCTTTTTTTTTTTAAACTTTAGTTTGTTTTTTAAAAAACTACCCAAAGCAGTGCCAATATTTGGGTTTACACAACTTACTAGCACGCTTTTCAGTGATTTCCATCAAAGCACAGAGGAACAAATCAGAACTGACCTCTGCTGCTGAAAAAAAAAAAAAAAGGCAATTCTTACTGCATCTCTTTACTGGTGTAGAAGAGCATACCTGGGATTTGCCTCTACTAACACAACTGTATTAACCAAACCTGTGTGAACATTTAGAGCCAAAATCCAGTGGGATTTACCCTCAGGGGGGGCACTGCCACCAGCAACACCATCACAGGAGGAAGCAGCAAGGAACAATGCCATGGACCTGCACGTAGATCATGCCATGGTGTTACCCTCTATTGCACAGTGATTGTTGGGGGTTTTTTGCTTTTTTTTTTTAAACTTTAGTTTGTTTTTTAAAAAACTACCCAAAGCAGTGCCAATATTTGGGTTTACACAACTTACTAGCACGCTTTTCAGTGATTTCCATCAAAGCACAGAGGAACAAATCAGAACTGACCTCTGCTGCTGCAGAAAAAAAAAAAAGGCAATTCTTACTGCATCTCTTTACTGGTGTAGAAGAGCATACCTGGGATTTGCCTCTACTAACACAACTGTATTAACCAAACCTGTGTGAACATCTACAGCCAAAATCCAGTGGGATTTACCCTCAGGGGAGGAGGATCAGTTTAGGGAATGTTTGAACGAACTGGACATAAATGAGTTTAGGAGACCTGAGGGGAGGCAGCAGGGAGCGCCGAGGGAAGCCAACGTCACTGCCAAGCCAATCTCCATTCTCTTTGCAAGGTCACAGCGATCAGGAGAGGTTCCTGATGACAGGAAGAATGTAAATACTCCTTTCTCCCTTTAGGGAGGAGGATCAGGGTAACCACAAGGCTGGTCAGTCTCACCTGGACTTTTTTCCCTAAACAGGAACCACCAATTTGCCCAGTGATACCTCATTTCTGTTATCACTGCAATAGCAGCACAAGAAAAGGTTGAAGCTGTGGCTCCTGCAGAGCCTTTCTCCAGACCGTCCCCCTCAGAGCACTGCCGCTGACAGACCAGCCCCCCCCACCCCTTGGGCAGCATCCCCAGGACTACTAAAAATTCAGGAATTGTTTTATCTCCACTTTCTAACCAAAGGCAGCTGCGTCTCAAATCTCATGAATATCCAATGCAATCAACAACAGCAGAAGAGGTCTCAGGAAAGAAACCTTCCTGAAGAACTTGTGGCTGCCCCATCCCTGGAGGGGTTCAAGGGCAGGTTGGAGGGGGCTTGGAGCAACCTGGTGTGGTGGGAGGTGTCCCTGCCCAGGGCAGGGGGTGGCACTGGATGGGATTTAAGGTCCTTTCCAACCCAAAACATTTCTGTGATTGTAGAACTTTGCTGGAAGGATGACTTCAGAGAGCCAAAGCCCTCACCCTCCCCGAAGAGCAGACACACATTTGCCCACGGATGCTTCAGAAGGAATAATGAGGAGACTACCAGCTCTTTGAGTAGTTTTATAAAAGTATTTGACTTGCTGAGATACTGTTACAGTTACCTGAGTATTTGAAATTACAATGCAAGGAAATTTCAACAATGAATTTCAGTACAGTATTTTACAATCCAGTGCTGCTGATCCCAGATCCTACAGGAGTTCACTAGAGCACATATACACAAACAGTGATTCTTGAAGAAAATTAAAAGACATCAGAAAAAAGGGGGCTGGAGATACCAACAGAACAGAGAGAGCTGAGATTACAAATCCAGTGCAGCATGTAATAAAAATTCAAACAAAAAATATTAAACAAGCATTTATTTTTTTTTCTGTGAATAATAAAAAAAGCTTTTTCCTTTTTTTTTTTTTTTAAACACAAGCAACTGGATTAAAAAAACCAAACAGCTTCCATTCTAGATGGGTGAAGACATGACCATGTCTTCCAACCCAAACCATTCTATGTCACATTTACTGTGCATTTCATTAGTATATTAACATTTCCTGAGCTACCCAGAACAATAAGGCTTTGTTAATTCTTAGATCAGCAGCTCAGCATTTCATTTCCTCACGTCACTCTCATAAGGCAGAATTCTAAATCAAAGTTATTTTAATACTTGAAAATTGGGATCAATTGACAGTTGTGTATGAATATAGATTTGTGACATCATATGAATTTATGCAGCTCAGGCTGCTAAATCAGCTGAAGTAGAGGGAGATAAATTAATTAATCTCTGCTGAAAATCTTACTTTCAGGTCCAATTGATGATAACTATTATCTGGGCTATCAGATGCTGTGGACTCATCCGCATGTTGTTTTCACCAGATCCCCATAAAGAACAGAAAAGTGCACCAGGGGCTTATATTAATTCTTGTTTATTTCTACAGAACATGCTGTAAAAACTGAACAGATTTGTTCGTGTTCACAACACCGACAGAGTAAAATGCCTCAGTGGTCTTAACCTCTGACTTCGGAAATATTGCCAATTCAACACAGTAAAGTTGCTTTAAATTTCGTATATTTTGGGTAAATCCAATGTTTCACAGATTATTCCCCTCCTCCCCCCCTCCCACTCCCCCAATGAATTCTTTATTTGTAATGTTTTAAAATTGTATCTGGTGCTTGGGATATCCAGCCCCCATCCTAATACAGCAGAAAAGACATATAAACATGCCATTTAAATTAAAGAAAGAAAAATGGAGTAAGTGGAATCCCGGACTGCAAAAATATATACAAGCATTTACCTTTTTCCTGAACTAAAACATTTCGACCATAAAAATATTAAACAGCCATACCCTATAGAACTAGGGCTAAGGCTATTTCAATTATAACTATTCTTTATTTTAAAAATATAGGGCTGAAAGCCTTTTGGGTGATATTTATACATTAACAATACCTCTAGGTTCCCTACACGAATCATAAAGCATTATGCAGAACACTGACTATTTTTCATAGCTTAATCTTGCATTATCTTGCTTAATTTAATCTCTCTTGTAAATATGTTAGATAACTACATTTCCTTGTAAGAATTAATATAAACAGAAAATATTTATAAGGCTTTTTTTTTTTCTCTTTGTGAGCTGTATACTGTAATATACCCATCATGTGTTTTGAAGTTGGCAGGTTTTCCTCCTCCTAAAGCCACGAGGTGAGGTTAATTCTCACCATCAGTGGAACTGTAGGAAAGTCATTTCTGTATCAGCAGAAACTCTTTTCCGTGCCGTTTCTAGAGTACGCACGACAGAAGAGCTACTCACTCTGAAGTCAGATCATTCTGCCTTCCAATGAGCATCTGTTCTACGACCTGAAAAACTCCTGAAATCAGTTAAAAACTGTAGTGTCTTGGTTCTTCTTAGGCCTGAATCAGTTTTTCCCTCAGAGAGAAGGGACAGCAGGGAAGAGGTACTCTCTGCAAGCCTGGAAGTTCAGTTTTACAGTTTCCCACAGTCCTGGTTCAGCTTCAATATTTAGAAGCCCCTTATAACCAGCTCCTGTCCCAAAGCTTTGAGCTGCGCTTACGCTGTAATACGCGCTATTTCGAGTGTCACATCCCTCTCTGTGGCTAGCACCCCCGCTCACTGACCTCTGCTCTCCTCCCTCTGGGTAAGGAAAGGGCTGACCATACCCAAAAAGTGCATTCAGTCTAAAGGAGCAGTAAAATGCAAAATGTTACTGTAAACCAGAAGAGAATGGAATGCTAACATATTCTAAAAGGAAGCCAAAGATGTTACTAATCCAATAGGAACTCACCAACGTTACTAGCTATAAGCAGTTCAGGGTGAAATAGCTTACAAACCTCCCCCAAAAACTTTAGTTTTAATCTTTATAGAACTATGTACTGATGCTCCAGCTTTTCCAAAAAATCTGTCATCCGTGTCTGAATTTTCCAATCCTCCCAGCTTTAGCCAGTATCGTGTATCAGTTCACAGGCAAAATGATAAGTATTACCATTTCCCAAATCCAGTTGTTTTGCATCTCTTCCCGAGAACCCAATAAAGTCTTCCCAGCAAACTGACTGCTACATGTAAGAATAACACTGAGAATAATGGCTGTTAACACTTTCGACAAGAAAGATCAGTCTGCAAACAGGAATCTGAGTGGAATCAGTGCAATCCCAGGTGGCCTTGTCTTTTGCAAAACAAGTGAAGTACCACAGTGTTAAATGGATTTAAAAGTTAAATGTGTTACACAGAAAAAGATCAGAATTCTTCTGAGGGCACACAGAAATGTTCCAACAACTTTGGGCGGGTGTCTGTTTTGCTGAAATTCGCAGGATTCGGGAAAAAAAACAAAAAACAACAAAACAAAAAACAACCAATCAAAGCAAAGCTCTGCCCTGGATTTGTGCCACAGTGTGACATCCCCTTAAACAGCAGCTTGAGTCCAGCTGGCATGTGAGCAGACTCCAGGCGGGGAGATAAAAACAGTCTGGCCACACTTGAGATAGAAAAGAGAGCTTTAGCGATGGATTTGCTCACGGTACACGCAGAGGATCGTTACAGGCTGGCTCTAATTACACTGCTGGAAAGAGGGTTATGATGCTGCTGCAGCATTGCAGCTACCAATGAACTTCCCAGTGCATCAGTAGCAAAAAATGCTACTAAAAAGGAAAGACAAAACTATTGTTAAAAATGTGTCTGTCGTTAAGGACACATTCTAATTAATGAATGGTAAAACAAAGCAGAGCCCAAAGCTGCATTAAACCTCTACCTCAGTCATCATTATTTGTAGCCATATCTGATTGCTCATTTGATTTCTGAAAGTGCTCAGTAGAAATCCAGAGTTAACGTGGATAAAACCTCAGGATAACATCCATTTACTTACACATTAGTATTGTTAAATAAATCCAAGTCAAGTCTACTTTACAATGAAGTGTGCAACAAGCAGAAGAAGTGAAGAACATCCATCGTGTTGAGTTCACATTCTTCAAGGTGCAAATTTTAGCTACTCTTGCCCAAATCCTTCTGTTTCTTCAATTGCAAACAACAGCTTTTCCTTCAACTGCTCATAATTCTTGTAGGGTGGAAGGTCTAAGCGATTGAAACTGGAAATAAAGAAAAAGAACTTAAGTACTGAAAAATAATTAAACCATCACAAAAAAAATCCATTATGAACATGGGTAGATGGATACCTGGATTTATACCCTGTGAAAAGCTGACCACCAACAGACATTGATGTATTATTGAGAGCAAAAGTAAGCGTTCAAGTGCTTGAACATCAAGAGTTTTCTAGAAATGCAGTGCACTTGGTAAGAAGTTTCACGGATTTTTCCCAGTTGGGTGACTGGAGTCACAGAATGCTATGGGGCTGGAGGGGACCTCTGAAGATCATCCAGTCCAACCCCCTGCCAGAGCAGGGTCACCCAGAGCAGGTCCCACAGGAACGTGTCCAGGTGGGATTTGAAGGTCTCCAGAGACAGAGACTCCACCTCCCTGGGCAGCCTCTTCCAGGGCTCTGCCACCCTCACAGGGAAGAAGTTCCTCCTCATGTTTAGATGGAACTTCCTGTGTTCAAGTTCATGCCTGTTCCCTCTTGTCCTGTCCCTGGGCACCACTGAAACAAGACTGGCCCCATCCTCCTGACACCCACCCTTTCAGTATTTATAAGCATTGATCAGATCCTCCCTCAGTCTTCTCTTCTCCTAAGAGACCTCTAAAAAGACCCAAGTCCCTCAGCCTTTCCTCTTAAGAGAGATGCTCCAGGCCCCTCATCATCTTTGTAGCCCTCTGCTGTCCCCTCTCCAGCAGTTCCCTGTCCTTCTGCAACTGGGGAGCCCAGAACTGGTCCCAGTGCTCCAGATGGGGCCTCCCCAGGGCAGAGCAGAGGGGCAGGATGACCTCCCTCCACCTGCTGGTCACACTCTTCTTCATGCTCCCCAGGATGCTGTTGGCCTTCTTGGCCACAAGGGCCCATTGCTGGCTCATTGCCATCCCTGTGCCCGCCAGGGCTCCCAGGTCTTTCTCCTCAGAGCTGCTCTCCAGCAGGTCACCCCCAACCTGTCCTGGTGCAGGGGGTTATTCCTCCCCAGGTGCAGCACCTACACTTGCCCTTGTTGGATGTCATCAGGTTCCTCTCTGCCCAGCTCTCCAGCCTGTCCAGGTCTCACTGTGTGGTGGCACAGCCTTCTGGTGCGTCAGCCACCCCTCCCATTCATAACTCACATTTTAAATTTCAAATTTGTATTTTTACTAAGCTATAATTCACTGGAGAAACCTTTCTCTAGGGGAGAGTGTGAATGTGGCTACTTCACTACCAAGATGGAATGTAGTGATCACAACGACAGTACTGCTTATTACTTTACATTTTCAGTAATACACAAATTCATGGAATTTACAATGGAATCTACTCCATTCCCCAGAAGTTCTTCAGAAGTTCAGCTGTTATTCAACACCAAAGTTTATCGGTAGAACTTTGCTTTCACACAGTCTCAACCATTTAAATATGTGCAATAAAATCTCCAAGTAGATTCTTGTCAGCAAAACTGGAACAATAGTACCATCCTACTCGGTGATGTACTCACCAGGTATGACTTCTGGGTAACCAGTTTTCCTTTCCAACTTTTTCAATACAGAATTTCTGGGGTCCGTTGCTCCCTGTAACAGATTCAAATAAGCAAGGCCTAGGTCTAGCTGCATTGGTAGGAGTAGGTAAGACATTACAGGTGAAGTTTGAGGCTTAAACCCAAGACAAGATTGCTGTTACTTGCATAGAAAAGAGAGATCTCTCTTCTACTGTTCAGCTCCTTCAAGATCAAAGTGTGGCAAAATGCATAAATTTGAAGTGATTTTGAAACTCAATACAAGTGTAAACATTCCTTCCTTCTCTTTTTCCATTACACTCAAGTATATGCAGGACTTTCAAAAGAGCATTCTATATAAAATTCATTAAATATGTCCATAAACATGTAACTTAGCTCTTTTAAAACAATTTTCTAATGCATTAGAGGGATTATTAATGCATACCCATGAGGTCAACAAATCCTCCCACTGGTAATCTGCATGTTCCAGTAACAAACTGCAGGAGTCTCATTCTCTTCTCATTATCTATTTCTTTCACAAACTGAAAAATAATAATTGAAATAAACATTTAGGTAGAGATTTGATATTCAACTTTTCACATCATCATCCTCCCCAGATTAACGTGACTGTTGCGAACAGCTGGATTAGCAGTAAGAAATTATATTTACACCCTACAGATCTGGTCAATAATTGTGACCATCGTTTACGAAGCTGTAGCTTGTGCTCTGTAACTTCTGTTGGTCCCAGAATAAAACACAGTTTACAAACCTGCCAGAACCATATTATCTGTCTGCTGGTCCTGGTGTAGTGCCGGTAGATGGTATGTCTCTGCCAGTCATTCAAATCTATTTCTTGCATTCCACACAGAAGCACCTTTAGGGGAAAAAAAGGGAAATAAACACACGAATACAAGTTAGGACTTTCCTTCTACGAGTTCCCACAGAGACAGAACATCAACTGCACTCGTACTTAGAAGCACCTGCAGGGACAGTATTATTTTTTTTTTTTAATTTTAAACTTTATACAAAACTTCTAAAACAAAGAATGACAACTGCTCATGAAGGGTACTTGGAGAGGGCACAAAGTGGAGAGCATCTCTGTCACGAGAAACAGAAGAACTGCTTGCATTTAGACACCCAAGCCAGGAACAGTTATCACTGCCCAGCCATAAAACTGCGCTAGAATCACATCATCACAGACGGGCAGGGGTTGGAAGGGACCTCTGGAGATCATCCAGCCCAACCCCCTGCAGGATCACCCGGAGCAGGTTGCACAGCAATGTGTCCAGATGGGTTTGAATATCTCCAGAGGAGACTCCACCACCTCTCTGGGCAGTCTGTACCAGGGCTCTGCCACCCTCACAGGGAAGAAGTTCCTCCTCATGTTGAGATGGAATTTCCCATGTTCCAATTTGTGCCCATTGCCCCTTGTCCTGTCACCGGGCACCACTGAGAAGAGCCTTATCCCATCCTCCTGACACCCATCCTTCAGATATTGCTCAGCATTGATGAGATCCCCCCTCAGTCTGCTCTTCTCCAGCTGAAGAGCCCCAGTTCCCTCAGCCTTTCCTCAGTGGAGAGATGTTCCAGTCCCACATCTTCATAGCCCCCCACTCGACTCTCCCCAGTAGTTCCCTGTCCTTCTTGAACTAGGGAGCCCAGATACAGGATGTCTTGCTTTTATGTTTTTTTATATTTTTAAATTGAACATATGCTTCAGAAAGTGTAATTTTGAGAGATGAAAACCATCTAGAACCTGGTCCAGTCTATATGAGATCACCCATTGCATAACTGGTTTTATCTTCCTTTCTGTAAAGTTACTCATTCTTTTAACATGGGGAAATCAAATTGCTGAGGGTTAAAAAATAGAATCTTAGCCTTTGGAAATGCGTACACAGGCAACAAAGAGAAAAGTGAAGGGAAACACAATAATCAAATACTCTATAACTTTTCCTTCATATGCCCTATAAAACTGAGTTGTCAGCCTCAGCAAGTTCTGCTCTTCAAATATAAATACTCTCAAGTATTTTATGTGTAAAAACCTGGATCTAGCAATTGCCAAACAATCCTTTACCTCCAATTCTTTAGCATCAAAATACTGCAAATACTGTTGTGGCAGAATTTCGTTGAAGCCTTCAAAGAAAGCCTGTGTCTGCTCCTCAACACCTCGGGAGAGTCTCCATTCTGCTACCAGCCTGGAAAAGAAGATACAGAAAGATAATTTAAATGGCTTGTGCTAACCCAAGTCCACATCTTTGTTAGCCTATTTTGAGATGAAGTGCAAGTTAAGTTAAAAAAGATAAATATGGACAGTCTGGAAAGTTCTGGGGATAGAGCATTGTATACTTTTATTAGTAACCTTTACTCCGTGCAAACCATTTTGTTTTTTCTTCAAGTTAAAACCCTGTGTTTCCAACCATTCTGCTACGGAATGTGTTTTAGACTCAAAGAGCAGGCTGTACCTATTCACTGATGATATTAACGAGAGCACAGCAGTCCCCAAGTATTTGAGAAAAGGAAAAAAATTGCAGAGCTATATTTGTCTAATATTCTCCCCAGAAATCTCAGTCATTATCCATGAGAAGGTAAAAACTAGGTCAAGTTGTAGCGGTGAAGGTAAGTAGGACTGCCAGCTTACCAACAAACGCCTATGTCCATTTGGAAAGCTCCATATCTGTTTCTGTTAATCATGAAACTTTTGCTCTGTGGCAGAAAGTCCACTCTCCATTAATAAAAGGGTGAAAAGCAGGCAGGAGACCCGAAGAACCTGAACCCAGGGAGAAGCAGATATTATGCTGAATTCAAGCCTAACCTGGCAGGAGGAGGGGAGTCTAAAGGAGAGAGGGCTACTCTCTGCTTGCAGTCCTAGAAACTTTGGGGACTTAAAGCAGGGCTCAGAGTAAAGCAGAATAATATGAGTGAAACCAGAATCTGAGCTCTCCCTGGGTTCCTAGAAACTAGAAGAGAATGGTTTTTTGCAGATCCTCCCTATTTTCAACCCCAATGTTAATACTTTGCAAAACTGCACAAAATACCAGGATGTTTCTTCTGCAAATACCACCTTTTCTGTGCATCACTGAGATGGCTTCATGTTACTTAGGCCACGAAAACAAAATCTGCTGCCTTCTCCCTCACCCCATCCCGTGAAAGATGCCTCCAGAAAACACAGTGCAGGAAAGAGGAAAATTCTACTGTGTTTCAGTTTGTTTTGTGCCTACGAGTGATTCTTTTTATTTTTTGCAAGCACATCCTCCAAGTTTACATGTTGAAGTTCACACTTTAAAGCAGAGTTTCTGTAGTGCTGCACAGCGAGGAAGAAGGGGGTATTTCAGCAGGTCAGTGTTCACATTTTTATTCTCTCATCACTCTTAGGCTCCTTCCTTCTTAACCTTAAATACCCCCTCTGGTACTGCAAATGTAATCATTTATGATAACACAATTCATGACATCATTCATAACACTGGCCTGTTACAAATGGTAAGACCTAAGATCAGTTCAGATAAAATTAGTAACCCCAAGTATCTTTAAAGAATAAGAATTGTCACCAAAGCATCCAAAAATGTTAAGTTTTTTAAAAAAAAACCCAAACATAAATAGCTGGGGAGAGTATCAGAAGGTTGTAAAGAAATGTAATTCCAATAATAAACACATGCAATGATTTCATGAAATACCTGACACTCAGATTTGTTGTCATGATGTTCTCCTCAAAACTACCTAAAGGAATAAAAGTGGACCTTCTACTAACTGTAATCTTTGGAAAAAGTGGATTTTAGAAATTTATTTCTCTCAATATTTTTCTTTAAAATACAAAATCCAAACAACTGCCACTTGTTACCAACATCAGCAATTACTGAGAGACAGAATTTCAGCAATGCTTCAGATGACACAGTTCAACAATCCTTCTTCCATCAGCTCTGGCAAAGCAAACGAGGGTGATAAGAGTATGTTAAAAATCTTCATTTATCCTTACCTAATGTATTCTTCTTTGTTTTCTTCTGTGACCAGAATGTTGCTACCGTTTGGCTTCAAATCATGGCTTTTGATTTCACCTAGAATTTCTTTATCAACCGAGAAAAACATTTCCAAGCCACATTCTTCAATATCATTCTCTCTGTAAGGAAAAAATATGATTCTAAGTAACTGTGTCAAGACCTTATACTCAGTAGAGGAGATGAATGTGAAGAACCTTAAGAAAAAAAGGTTTGGAGCTAAACAATCAGGATAAGGAAATGTTCCTTACACAATAAATATGGTTTTGCAAGAAGTACTGACTTTACTAAGGTGTATATGTGAATTGCTGTAGCCAACAAACATTGCTCAAATAAACTCTATTCTCTTCATAGTCATTTATAGCCAGGAGAACAGGTCCAGCACTGCGATTTACATGCTGATATGTGCTTTGGGAAGTGAAGAAACACCTGCACATGCAGAGGCTTTGATGACCATTTTCCCCCAAAATAAAGTGCAAAAATCAAGATATTTGGCTTGAACCATAACACAGAAATGTCAGTCTTGAAAACATCGCTGTTGGTTTATTAAGCATCGTGTTCTGAACATGACCTTTCCAAAATACATAGAGTGGTTTGGGTTGGAAGGGACCTTAAAGACCACCCAGTGCCACCCCCTGCCCTGGGCAGGGACACCTCCCACCACACCAGGTTGCTCCAAGCCCCCTCCAACCTGCCCTTGAACCCCTCCAGGGATGGGGCAGCCACAGCTTCTCTGGGCAACCTGGGCCAGGCTCTCACCACCCTCACAGCCAAGAAGTTCTTTCAAGTATCTAACCTAAGTCTCTCCCTCTTTCAATTTAAAACCCTTCCCCCTCGCCCTAGGGCTCCCCTCCTTGATCACAAGTCCCTCCCCATCTCTCCTGGAGCCCCTTTAGGGACTGGAAGGGGCTCCAAGGTCTCCCCGGAGCCTTCTCTTCTCCAGGCTGGACCCCCCCAACTCCCTCAGCCCCCCCTCCCAGCAGAGGGGCTCCAGCCCTCCCAGCATCTCCGTGGCCTCCTCTGGCCCCGCTCCAACAGCTCCATGTCCTCCCTGTGCTATTGGATGAAACCTTACATGAGGAAGGAAGGCTGCAGATGGATGGGTGATGAAGTAAAATCACACCTTCCTTCTGAAATGAAAGCTGCAGACTCTAGCTGTGGTTGGGCAGAGAGCTTTGCCTAGATGACCTCTAGAGGTCTCGTTCCAAACTCAGTGGTTCTGTGCAATTTTCAAAATTGCAGGAATGAGAAAAATGACCACCTGAGAGAAGCGCCAAGAAATTAAAAACTACTGAAAGCTTCCTGCAAAGTTATAAAACTTGCTTTTTTGATGAGGAATAAAATTATGTTCATCCTGACAGACATGACTTTCCCCCCCCTCCCCCCAAATGTGGAGTGATTTCCTTAGAGGAAATTAAGATTGATGCTGTTCCTAAGGTAAACATTGTTGTATGTGCAACTTGGTCCAATTCAGTCAGAAGCTCATTCATCAGTAATAGCTTCCCCCATCATTTAATGCAGATTTCTTCCCTATAGAGGAACACATACATTTTCTGACTACAAAACAGATAACAGGATTTCTTAATTACAGAAATTGGGACTGACAGCTTTTGAGGCCTTTTCCTCCCTTTCAGGTCTCAGTTTCATGACATCTTTACTCAAATAGCAATAGTTTTAAATTTTCCTAATGGGATTTTAACTCACTACACCTTTTAGCAGCACATACATTGAATACAGAACATACTGCTCTTCGAAACCAAAGCACAGTTCCTGTCTCAGTTTGTAAACATCTCATAAAGCTGCTTTCCCCTCTCCTCGTTATTCAAGATAATGCTTCCAAAACTCATCTCCACTACAGGAGATGAAAATCTTGTCTTTTATATTTATTTCTGCACTTTAAAAACCAACCTATCCCCACGCCTTTTATAAATTTCTTAAAGCATTTTAAAAACCATTCTGGTTTTGTATGATTCTTAAGTAAAATGTTTTATCTCTCTAGTCACACCAAAAAGACTAATTTTCCTGCTAAATTGTTTTTACTACAGCAGAAGCAAACCATATTTTTTACTGAATTTGTCTTCATATCTTCCCTTCTAATTATTTTTTTAAACTGTTGGGAAAGGAAAATCTTCCTTGTTACTGAACCAAACGGTGCACATCAACCACGGACAACAACAACCCGGAGTCCTGCTACTATAAAATAAGTACAGAATTACAATACTTTAGATCTATGGGGGTTTTAATATTTTTTTCTCAAAATATTTCCATAATTCCAAAATAATTCTTTTTTCTTCCCGCTCTCTGGAGAGGAATCTGCCAACGAGCAGAGAAGGAAGACTGAAAGGGTATGAAGGCAGAATAAAGAGCTGCCTGACAACGTGCTACACATGGGAATGGTCCTGAATCACACACCTTGGAGCAAAAAACCAAGGCCAGCTAGAAAAATCCATGAGCATTAACTTCTTTAAAGCATTAAATGTTCAACATTAACCCTTAAGGCAAATTTCAGGTACGACTAACGAGAATTACGTGGTAGGAAATAATAAACTACATTTGTTAGCTTCATGTTATTGTAGCACTAAACTTTTTTTGTTTCTAACTAAACTAGAGAGAAACACAGAGTGGATTTTTGCTGATTTCTTCTAATCAGTTATCTGAGAAGTTTCAGTGCTATTCACTCAGGCCATTTGATTTGTAACAGTGTTCAAGGCTGCCACAGCTGTATAACGTCTAGCTAGATTTATTAAAATGAGCAAAAATGGAATGCAAGATGCTGTGCAGAAGATTCAAGGAACCAGAAAGGCTTTTGCATTATCAAATTCTTACCTAATAATTATCTATTATTTACATAAAAATTACAGTAAAACTTCAGTACTACTCTTGAAGTATCGTTCTTTCCGCTGGGGTTTTTAGTAATAAATTTACACCTAATTCCTAGCATAAGTGAAAATCAAGAACATCGTATTGCTATTTCAAGAACAAAATCAAGTCAAACTCACTTTACCCAGATGAGAGAGTTGTAAAACTCTGGGTCAACAGATTCTAAATCCTTGAGTCCCACTGGCTTGTTTAGGATACGTTTATAGAAGGGCAGAGAGAAACCAGTGTCAATGAATTTCCCATGGAACAAAGCCTGAAGAACGTGAAAACAGACAAAATAGCACAAAAGATGATTGAATACTTAATATGACAACATTCTGTACTTTGTACCAATGAAATCTGACAGCCAAAGAATTAAAATAACCTAGAACATCATCGTCTGTTGAATTAACTTATACCAACAAAAGTTATACCCCAACACCTGATAATAATTTCAACTCAAAAATGAATTGTTTAATTATCCATCGGATGGTACAGTATTTATTGATAGGAAAACAACATGAGAACATCTTTCTGCTCTTGAACTTACCATGGCAATGAATCTTCCAATAAATCGGAAGTATTTCAGGTGGTCTGGGTTAATGTAAGAGGCTGGGTTTATCTGTAAGCAGTAGTTATCTTTCCCTGCGTATTCAAACAGGCAATACATTGGGTTCAAAACTTCATGTGACAACAGAAAGAACCATTCCCTGAAATCACACAAACAACAAAAACACATTTCAAAATAAATTAAATTAGAAATGACTTTTGCTAACTCATGTTGACTTTGGCACGTAGGCAGGCAATCTGACTTCTGCACCAGAAAGTATCCCAGACCAAATTGAAATCAAATTGAAACCCACACAAATAACAAACTAATATGCAAAGTGACAATGATACACAACTGTTAGTGGTTTGGATAAAAAACACCCTTATCTAAATAAGCAGATTAAAGAGTCTACCACTGATTTAAACTTTAAGGGTTTAAGGAATGCTAATTAATATATGCACTTCTTGGTTACATTCCCATAGACTTTTGACTTGAAAGTAGATTTCTATTCATTTTTTCAATAACCCTCTGCTTTGATATTAACAGTCATGCCAAAGGCTCACTGTAGCTCAGTAACTGCATCTCTCTAATCACCAGAGATGATCTGAGTAATTCCTGATGCGAATTGAAAAGAGTTTTATACATTGTTAAGACACGCACATGTCTTCAGGAACTGTCTTCCTCAGCTATTCTAAGGAAAGATAAGGAAGAGACTTCACTAATATTTTGAAAGCACTGCAGTCTAAGTATCTCATTTGGGGAATTCTTCCCACCACCAACTTGCAGAATAAGATACTATTTGCCATTTCAGTTTCCTTTACCTTGCAACACCACCATAATCTAAGCCTTCTTCACCAGGGAAAATAACCCATAAACGTCTCCGTAGATCCTGAGGGCTGAAGCTCATTATCTTAGTAAAAGAAAAACAATTAAAAATTCTTTTTAAGAAAACAGCTATAAGCACTGGCTAAATGTTTTATATTTGTTATCAAGCAACAGAGTTTTTAATAATTCAGACCATAAAATGGATTATGAGTACATGAAGTACCTGCTCGTGGAATTCGAAGTGTAAATGAAAACCTATTTCCATAGATTAAAATGTAAAAGGTGTAAAAGAAAAAGAAATAATAATTCTGAAATTAAAGACTCGGGACACTTAGGGCAGCATCTTGTCTGTAAGTACATGACAGAAATCCAGCCAATAAATAAATGGGCCCAAAGTGAGTAAATTCGGTGTTTGTTAAATACCAAAATGAATGAAATCGCAGCGAGAAGTAATGAAGAGACAGGATCAAGGGCTCAAAGAAAAAAAATTAGAAACAAAACAATAACAAACATACATTATATATTTTTTCATTTTACAGCTTCATCTCCTAAAGAGGGTAACAAAAACCTTGCTGGTTAGTTGGTTTGTTTTTTAGAAGTCAGGAAGAATCATAAATGCTAAGGAACTTTACTGATCCCCGTTTTAATACAATGACCAAATTCGTAATTATGTTTATTTGATCAATTGTTGGAGGTTTACTTGAAGAAATTTCACATAACACTTGTGTGTGTGCAAGAACCTTGCAATGACAGGCACAGAATTTGGGTCAGAATTTGCATTTTAAAAATCTCTTCTAGATATCTGCAGTAATCATCACTCAACATTTTATAACCCCAACAGAGGTATCCGCAAATGATGAATGACTAATAAGTATAAAAAATTAACGCGGGTCTTTGTGATTATGTCATCTAAATTATTGATAAGGCACCCTGCTTTCCTAAGGAAGCCCAGGTCTGCTGATGTTCACATACTCACATGATCTATCCCTTGATTCTTTCCAGCACAGTATAATTTTATTACCTCTACAGTTACCGTAAAAGGACCAAGTGCAATTTCAGAAATCAGGCTGTAGCTCACTCTCAGTTACAGGATTTATTCTGTCCCCTTCTAACCCCTTTTATTTGAAGACATCCCTGTTCCAAAGGAAGAGACCAGCCAACTGCACCATTTGTGCCTTCTGCTGAGCCAGTTCTTATCTTCTTAGAGAAATTCTGTATTTTCTTAAGTTACTTTTAAATCAGAAAAACACAGAAACAGCCAAGAGGAGTGTCTGCCAAGAGGGATTGTTCCATGCGCTTCTAAGCCTGTTTCTGTGTCTCTTATGAGACTGACAATGAGCTACTTCTGGCTTCAAAGCCAGGGCAGTGAGTTATCGCCACAATGAACATTCAAAAAGTAAAATTCAAAAGCACTTGAAAATATTGCATAGGAACAAATTTTAACCATGGATCAGGTCTATAGACTTTAACAAGAATTTTGCTACTAATAATTTAAATAGAATTAATAGCTTTTGTTTTCTTTCAAACATTTAATTACTCATTTAAAGAGCCATAACATCCACACTAAGAGCAACTTCCTAAGTTTTGGTGCACGGCCCGTGCTGCTAGAACACACTGGGGGGAAAAATGTGCCAACAGCCCTAATGCCAACATGAAACCTTCCCGAGAGCGGGGAGCTGCTCTGCCACAGTGCTCCCCTCCAAATTAACCCAGATTTTAAAGAATTCTGAGGAAAATAAAAAAATTTTAAAATTCCCTTCTGTCAGATGAACCAGCCTTCAGAGCTCAAACTTCACATGGTCTTTTAATATGTAAGTATTAAATTAGCATTTTTATTAGTCTCACTTAAAATAACACTAGATGCCAAAGGATCAAGCACGACATGTGACAATAAATTTAATCAACTCCACTTTCCATGCCCACTCCTAACAAGCTTTAACACAATACCTGTTGAAACGAGTCTTCGAATAACGTTTTTCTGCTCACTGTGATCTTTATGTGTTGGGGCAGCGCCAGTTGCTGAAATGAAATTTTTTAGAGGTACAATCACTTCAAGTTTCTAATACCAAGTTTGGACTGTTATTTAGTGAATATAGTGTTTCAAGAGCTACACTTGAATTTCACTAATACGTATAAAACAAACCCCAGCAATAAAGATATCTGAATTCTAATTTACTCCAAGGACAAAATGCTTCCAGTATTGCTACCTACAGTGATGTGCCTCCATATCCAGCTTAGACCAGGATCAAACACTGTACTCTTGTGAGACGTTAGAAAAAATTAAGATCAATAACGCGTTACAAGTCAGCAAGGCTTTCTACCCCGCAATTTAATTAAAAAAATTAGAAAATTTAGGTTAATCTGCACAAAACTCAAAGTGAAAAATTAGGCTAGTGTCTCTGCTGTTTTTCAAAGGATAATTCATTGACTCTTGAAAACTGGAACATTTAAACCTAGAAGTTTTTTCCTAAACAGCAAGCGACGGACTCTGTTGATAAGAGGACCAAGACTGACAGGCAGGAATTTGATATTCTGTTTGAGCCCATTAACGTGCAACACGGTATGTTCTTCAGTGGTTAGAGATGCACCTTCTCTGTCCAATGCCCTGCACTGTCTCACTAAGTATGTATTTGAGCAGAAAGTAGATCTCGTATTAACTATAAAAATACTGTTCCTCCAAATATTCCTTTATTAACAGCAGAAGGAAAATCCTATTCTGAAACCCACCACTTTACAAAACAAAGTAGATAAATCGATGTTTTCCTTTATTCTAAGAAGTTTTACAGCCATGGCTTACCCAGCTTTAAAGCTTGCGTGAGTTTATACAAGTCCTATGGTTACTGCCTCCTAATTTAACTCACCTTTAACCTTAAAAGTTTGATTACCTTTATTTGCAAGGCACTAAAGAGTTCATGTAAAGCACGTAAGCAAAACCCAAAACAATAAACAAATATTCCCAGGAAACGAATGTGTACCTGACACCAGAACCTGAAATAATGGACCTTTGCCTTGAAATCCCGCACGTAGGCGATCTGGGGTCCGTTGTCTCTGGAACCAAAAGGAGGAAAAAAAATGACATTCAAAAGTGGTTTTGTAATTTAAGTAAAAGCCTGCAAATGTACTAGTTATACAGTTGTATGGTTCAGTTGGGCATCCAGTTGGAAGGCTCTTATTCACCTTTTTTTGATTTTTGGGGTGCAATTTTCTTGCTTTTAAACTAACAAAAGTATATCTTCCTTTGTAAATTGTGGGGTGCGCACACAGTACTTTTTAAACAGCATTGATTATTAAATATAAAAAAGAAGGATGTAATGATATTCAGTTAATTAAGTTGGGACTTAAATTCTGGTTTTAACTCCATTCTGATTCCTAAAAATCAAAGAAAGGGTTGAGTGTAACTGGAAGGAAGGGATCTGGACATCAACAGTGGTCACGAACCTCCTCCATTACCCTCAAATCTTACACACTCCCTGGCAAGAAGGATTCCAAATTGTGCAAAACACTGTCTTCTTCAGGGACACTTATCAGGGGACGAAAAAAACCCCAGAAAATTAAGAAGCATTATTACACGTAAAACTTTCTGCATTAAATAATGTGCACAGAGAACAAAAACTTCCAAACTGATGCATGCTAAACTTCACATCTGAAAGCAGTATCATGTTAAAAACACTTACAGAGCAGACTTGCCCGTGCGGGGATCTATATACGTCGTGGTTCTTCTGTTGTGATCCACAAAATAGGGAATCCCATCCACGGTAAATCGCATTTCCCAGCCCTCTGGTAATGGTTTCTCATTTAATTGGCTAGAGGTACAAGAATATATATTGTAACTAATCAACTTCATATATCAAGTCAATTGAACAATACCTGAGACAGTAAAAAATTTGGTACATCTAGAAAAACTACAGATTGAGAAACTTTCCATTCCATATATATTTTGCCTTTTTTTCCCCTCTAAAATCTTCATGTCAGCTCTCAAAGAGACTATTTAAATAAACATTAGCTCATTCGGTCGCACTACCTGGAAACAAAGGCAAATAGAAACTTAGGGGAAAAACGTAAGCAAGGTTTATCAATGTTTCCTCCAATTTCTATCTTCTAACTATTAGGATTTTAATTGAAAACTGACAATTTTAATAAATAGCTTTTGGTACCTCATGTATAATCACAGCAGGCAAAATTCAAAGGGTTTCAGAATGACAAAAAAAGAGCAAACACAAATGCAGATCTTGTATAATTTCCAACAACTTCCAACTGAATGTTGGTATAGACAAAACCACATCTTGGTGTGTTTGGAAGACCCGAGGAGCATCACCCCCGAGGTGCTCTCAGAGGGACTTCCCCCCGCAGAACTCCACTGCAGGACCATGTGTCTCACTGTGAAGGCACCACCTGTGGTTCTTGGGTTGAATTAAGATTAACAGTGTTTTCTCCACACACTCAGCTCCTGCAGACCTGACCGGGGTGGAAAAAGCTGTTGTCTCTGGGTACAGCTCTCACTCCTCCACACACACCAGGAGGTTCCACTCCCCCTCGTCTTACACCTTTTCTATAGAGGACAGATGAAGTTGCTTCACCAAATGGAAGTTTTTGGCTCAGACAGGAGGAGTTGGAATTGAACACCTTCACCCTCAAGTTCCTGCCTACATTCCCCACCTCAAAGAGTCAGAGTGACCCGAGCCCAAAATAAACAGTGCTCCATTACTTCTAGTAGTGCCTCCAGTTCTCTTTCTTTTTTTAAAGGTGTGAGAAGGGGTGCTGCAGTTTTTCAAGTCTCTCTCCTTTCTGCCTCGTAACTATTGACTGTCTAGGAAATAATCAAATTCCTATTAAGGATCCTTGCACTATCCCATAAACATATGAAATAAACCCCTCCCTCCCCCAGTGACACGAAGGTTTAGACACAAGTATCTTATTTATAAAAAGAGCAGGAGCTGTTCTGGGGAGTTAACTTACTGCTGTTGACCCAAGACTTTCCTGCTAACGGTACTATTAGTGAGTAATATTTGGAGAGTTTCCATTTTGACTAGTACCTTTCCATATTTTAAGGGGCTGGCTGAAGTTCATGTAGTCCCTGTTTCAGCCATGGGCAGCGCTTCCCAGCTCTGTCTCACTACTGGGTTACATTTTCCTTCCAGACTTACATAAACCCACAACTAATTCCTTACCCTTGACTCCTGGGGTCTTCCCACTGCGTGATCCGTGTGTTGTGATTGACAAAATACACTCTGCCATTGCTGTCAGTTCTCTTTTCTGAAAAGATGCAAAAGGGAAAAAAAAAAAATCAATCCCTGCTTAATGTATCACTGAGACTGCATCAAATAAAATAAATAAAGCAATCAATAGACCCTGCAACAGCCCTTAGGTTTCTTTACCTCCTTTGACTCAACATCTTCTCACTGTCATTGGTGTTATTCCTGAATAGGCTACACATAAAGAGGAGCCTCTCTGAATACCGACTGCTGATGGTCACATGAACTATGCTCCGTAAAAAGTTATGCTTAATGGTGGTCATAGATAAGTTCTTTACGTTTTAATTGTCACCCTGAGAAGCTGAGCCCTCACTACCTCACTACAGGAGAGACTCCGGGCATCACAGCCACCGTACAACCACGGGCGAGAAGGAACCAAGCTCATCACCAGAGCTTTACCTTCGCTAGATCTATTGGGCTACTCTCTGCACTTTTTAAAAAGGTTTTTCAGCATTTTTGCAAGTAAAAATTTTTTATGGATTAAGATACCAATGAAGTTGAAATTTCTATGTTAAGATCCTTTCCTATGCTATTTATTTTTCAACTGTAGGAAAACTAATTGGAAGAAAGAAAAAGGCTGTTTTCTCAACAGGAAATTCCAGCTGCTTCGATTATTGTGACAGACCCTACAGCAACACAGACAGGAACACAAAACAGGTACCAGATGTATACACAGGTATCAAGAAAGTACAAAGGCTTAATGAGCAGGGAATAAAAAGTGATCAGTGCAGTTTCCAACAAAATACATCTCTGTTTTCTCTCAGACAGTTCAGTGTATGCCCATGATTGAACAACGCTCATGATATATGCCCCGGCTTGGTCTTCTCTAGCATTCTGCAGCTCTTTATGCAACTTTTATTTAGTGTTGCAAAAGAAATACAGAATATATAATGCAAATTATAAAAACAGGCCAAAATCTGACTACCAGAGGAAAAAATGCTATGGAAGCAGAATTCAACATGATGTACAACTCACTTTTGTTGTTTCCTGGGCATTGCCAGCCTAGAGAACTTTCTTTGAAATGTTATATACAGCATGCAACAAAGCTAAGTGTGGGGAACAACAATTTTATGGCATAAAATTGCATCAATACCAGAACTAAAAATCCTAATATTTATGTTTGAAAAACAGATGAGCCAAAACCCCAGGTCTAATTACTAAAGCCAAGTAATTACTTGCATTAAAATTACACAATTCTGAAGACTTTATCACAAAACTGGAATTGTTATATCTGCTTTATATCTGGTGAAACTAATTCAACCAGAAATTAGTTTTACATTTACATTTTTGTACAAACCCCCCAATTATATTAATTGCAAATTGTTAACCCTGTAAAGTACAAAATCAAAATTATTCCAGGGGGAGGAGCAAGTCAAGAAGTGATTAGATGTCATTATACAAAAAACATTTTCAGCCCAACAAACTGGCTTGGGGAAGGAATTTGGCATCCTGAGTTAGAGGGGATTTGGAGGCTGATTTGGCAGGAAAATGGATTGGGGGGGGCGGGAACTGTACCCAATATAAGTGGTAAAAATGGATGACCATGTGAGACAAGCTATTATGGGAGTTACAGGGAGCAAACCGGAACACTTCCTAGTTTCTAATCTACTTTGAAACCTCACATCCTTGTCAGAACTCTATTTTAATAGCACATTTGATTAGATTTAGTTTTAAAAGATTTTTGATCCAGATCTTAATTTTAAAAAACTAGCTTAGAACAGCTGACAAAATTTGGCAGAAGTAGGCTTTAATGTTTAATTATATTGCATTACAAAACACTTTCAAGTCAGTCTTACCCCATCCATGTGGCAGAGGGCCAAGGGGATCAAACTCTTTGTTCTGTGTGGATGAAAAGTCCTGGTTCTGCAAGTCACATAAACAAATGGTGCATTAATGACTAGTCATTTGCTTCCCAGATGCTCTACCAGAGTCATCGTGAATTATTGAAGGAGATGCATTTTTGTTAATGTTACATATAAGCAAAAGATGCCAACAATTTATTTTTCTCTGCAGAGAAGGCCTATTTTACAGACCTTGGCATGCTTAATTAACTGCAGTGCCAAGAAAATAATTATTCTTTGTTTAGTGTCCCTGCCCACGCAGAAGGGAAATTAGTACAGTAGCACCCAAACCAATAAGAAAGCAATCTCCTTCATTCCTGCATTCAGTGCATGGCCCCCTATCACCATTTATGAGGTCCATTTTTATTCTCTACACACAGAGCAAGTTTAGAACCTACAACATTCTTGATGAACTGGTAGCATGAGTTGGGAGTTGTCTGAAGTCTACTGTTTGTCAGAGGTAAACAGTGGATTTAAAATTCTGGAAGGATTATTTTCAATTTCCCTGCTTTCTTAGCAGTCATTGTGCATATTTCATTTTACCCAAAGCAGAAACATCCATCCTGGGGGCTCACTTACCTTCCAGGTCTTTGGGAAAGCCAATACAAGACACAACACAAATAAACCAGCTCATTACTAAGCTCTAGTTTGTTTTGAACCAATGACTTTTATCAATATTGTACATACATTTTATCAAAGAACATCACCTATATTCAGTTGACAAAAAAACACTATACTGCACCTGCTGCCTGCAGTCATTGCAAAGACAAGAACTAAGGTTGCCAATTATTACTACCTGCCATGCTACACACACAAAAGTACTGCATTTTCATAAAGAATAAACAATAGCAAAGTCTAGTATTTTTATGGGGAAAAGTGGCCCATGCATGCCCAAACCCCAAATACATATATACTTTCAACATGCAGAACAGAGACTAATGTGCTGAAAAATCTGAAAAAGGTCTCTCTCTTACTTAATCTTTACAGTTGTCATTCAATTCCTTACCCCGTAGATAAACCTCTGATTAAACTGCTGCATGGCTCCCTGGAGCTGGCTGCGCTGAAGCTGCCACTGCTCGTAATTCCGGACAGACTCCAGTGTTGGTCTCTGCCACGTCGTCGTTCTAGTGAAGTGGTCAACGTAATAAATCCTCCCCATGTTGTCAACACGTCGCTCCCAGCTTTTAAAACAAATTACAAGCAACAGTTTCTTAAGAGCAGACAATTTTGAGGGCTCAGAAGCATTTTTTTGGCAAAGAGGCAGAATGCAGGTAGTGGATAGAAAGCAGAGGCTTTTCAGCCATCATTTTAGTCTCCTTTTAGCCTCCACTAAAACTATGTAAGAACTAATATTGTTTGAGGAGAATCACTTTTATTTTGTTGCATATCATACCAAGTCAGAGTCGGTCCATTTACTGTACTTTCAGGATTATTTTCAAATAGTTTTCAAGAGCTACACAAACCAGTCAATACTATCACTGCCCAAGTCATAAGACAACAAACAGGCTGCTGGTTTCTCCTAAAAAGAGAGCAAAACCTCTGACAGTTTGGGCTGTACGATGCAAGGTTTCCTCACACTCTCATTTGGCAGACAAGGAAGGTGCTGGCATTGAGGTTTGGGTTGTTAGGTTTTTTTAATTATTTTCAGTTCATATGGATTCAATACTATTTACAGAACTTGAGTGAAAAAACTACTATTCTGAATAAAGTTAAGTAATACACCAGTCAATCCTCTAAAAGAGGGTTAAATTGAGTACAAAATAAATGGAGTATGACAGGTGGATTCCCTCTGTGAGACTGTCTGCCAGGTTTTCTTCTTCAATATCAGGTTCTCTTTACTATCCCATGCTTTTACTTTGCAATTCTGTGTAGCGCGTGAACCACCTGAGTATGAATGAAGTGCAACAGAATAATCCTGACATTTTTCTTACTTTTTTTTTTTTTTTTAATTAGAAACACAGAACAAATGTGAAGACTGTTTCCATGCAGAGACTAACACTGCTGGCTGTTGTGACGCTCCCAGCTGGAACAGCCCAGTAACCAAAGCTGGTTTCTGAGACTGTGGTAAATGAACAGCTGGGAACCCCGAGAGCAGATGAAAGGGCTGCAACCAGTGACCTCGGGACACAGAGCCAACCACGGGCCTTCCTGCTCAACCTGATCCTCACCTCAATCCCAAAATACTCTTCCGTGGTTTTGGTTCTGTTTTACAGTTGGAGGTGTCTACACTGCCTTTAGCTTAAATCTGTGCTTCTGAGCGCTTCATCTTTGGCAGGAAATTCAGATTCTGTTATTTTTGACATTCAGCTCTTTTCCACACTATGCATTTTTACAGAACTCATTGGAGACAACTTGGTGCAATTTTCTGCACTGGGTTTAACATTTCTGTTTACAAACACGCTTTCTGGCTGTAGTAAATTGCCAGTCAATTAATTTCTGAAAAAAATCTCCCCATATCCTGGCTCACCTTGGAGGAAGAGGCTCTGGTCGATCCCACGTTGTTCGTTTTTCAACATGATCTACATAGTACACTCGACCATGCTGGTCTACTCTTTGCTCCCAACTGAAAATAAAAGAGTATTTTTATCTTCCTGCAGATCAAACTACTCCAAGCATTCATCTGCAGTACTGAGATGAGAAATGTTTCTTTTCATAAAATGCTTTGAGACGCACCAAAATGCTGTCCATTACCCAGTGGTGCAATGTTCACACTAACACTGAGTCCACGTCAACTACTACAACATAAAAATCGTTCTACATGACCATCTTCCAGCTTCTGGGAAACTGAAGCTAAAATTCATGCCTACAGATAGAATTTTAGCAAGCAATGAAGCAAAGTTTTGTATTCAACATCAAGTATATCAAACACCTGTTGAATAGAATCACCTGTAGAGCATAAACCCCTTTTGGAGTAAAACTAATTCAATTTAAATCCTCAAAACATGCAAATTTTGCACAAATCACAAATATGCAGAATTTATCCTAAGGGCACTGCTCACATATTTTCTGCATGTGCAGATACTGACTTAGCTCTGTATTTGCATCAAAGGTAACATTGTGGGGAAGAAAGCGTGCTCATCTGCCATTTCTGTTGAAATCAAAATGCTAAAGCAACAACCCGTGTTTTCAGGGCTGCTTTTACATTTCTGTTATCCTGTTAGTGAGGTAATTCAGACCTCTCCTACCTTTTGGTTCAGCTGCCTGCCAATCAAGGCAGACATTTCACCAATTACACCATTCACACTGGAAAGCTTTTGCTTTCCCTCACTCAGAGAGTCAAAGAGCCCAGAAACTTTTTTTTTTTTTTTTAAAGTTTAGATCCTAAATGAGAGCTCTGAGGGAACAGAGTAACCATCTGGCAGACTCTACATGTGCCTGCCCACGCTACTCCCAGGTAGCGAGCTGCAGTATGGAGTCCAAAACTTTTGATTATATACTGCAATAGCAGCTCTTCTTCTACTTATCTATACCAATATTTTACTGCCTGGCTTCATTGTAATTAGAAGACAGCAAACTGTCACACTATTTAAAACTTCTATCTTTCATCAACATTTGAATGTAGGAGAAGTATCAAAAATACCTGAAATACTAATTCTTTTCTTGAACAAACCGTGCCTGACAAAAAAGTTATGAATCATAGAATTGTCCAGGTTGGAAGGGACTTTTCAGATCATCTGGTCCAACCATCAACCTAACTCTGATAAAACCCATCACTAAACCATGTCTCCAAGCACTATGTCAGCCTGCCTTTTAAATCCCTCCAGGGATGGTGCCTCAACCCCTTCCCTGGGCAGCCCAGTCCAAGGCTTCATAACCCTTTCTGTGTCAGCTTTTTTCCTGATATCCATCTGAACCTCCCCTGGTGCAACTTGAGGCTGTTCCCTCTTATCCCATTGCCTGTTCCTTGGAAGAAGAGACCGACCCCCCCTGGCTACACCCTCCTTTCAGGGAGTTGGAGAGAGCGAGAAGGTCTCCCCTCAGCCTCCTTTTCTCCAGGCTGAACACCCCCAGCTCCCTCAGCCTCTCCTCACAAGACTTGTGCTCCAGACCCCTCACCAGCTCCGTTGCCCTTCTCTCCAGCTCCAGCACCTCATGAAAACCTCCGAATTTTGGGCACCTCAATACAAGAGAGATATTGGAGCGAGTGCAGAGGAGGGCAATGAAGCTGGTGAGGGGGCTGGAAAACAAATTGTATGAGGAGCGGCTGAGGGAGTTGGGGCTGTTTAGTGTGAGGAAGAGGAGGCTGAGGGGAGACCTCATCACTCTCTACAACTTCGTGAAAGGACACTGTAGAGAGGTTGGTGCTGGTCTCTTCTCACAGGTAATTAGTGACAGAACGAGAGGGAACGGCTTCAAGCTCCAACAGGGGAGGTTTAGACTGAACATTAGGAAGGAATTTTTCACCCAAAGAGTGGTCGGGCATTGGAACAGGCTGCCCAGGGAGGGGGTGGAGTCCCCATCCCTGGCTGTGTTTAAGGGCCGTTTAGATGCAGTGCTGAGGGACATGGTGTAGGGGAGGACTTTGTAGAGTAGGGGAGATGGTTGGACTCGATGATCCCAAGGGTCTCTTCCAACCTAGACGATTCTATGATTCTATTCTATGAATTAATACTGGGGGGTATTTTAGTTATGCAGCAGAGCGCAGGTATTACTAATGCTTTCTTACACCTACTGTAAGTAACATAAAGTAAAACTGGAAATGTCAGCACAAAAAAAAAAAAATTAACTGATGAAAGCCATACCCAGGTGGAAGAGGACCTTGACTGACTGTGGTAAGTGCTTGAGGGGGAGGATTCACTGGCTGGACCTGGCGGGACACCGGGGGGGTGGTGAGCGCGGCCGTGGCAGGAGCTGAGGTGGAGGCTGCTGTGGGGGCTGCTGCTCCCTCCGGGCTCTGCTCTGGGGAGGAGTTTGGGGCCGCAGCCGCCGCTGAGCCCGCACCGGCCCCTTCGTTCTCTGTGGAGGTGGGTGAAGGACCATTTACACTTGCTGTGGGGTCAGAGACATCAAAAAAAGATAAAAAAAAAAAAAAAAAGCTTTTAACTGATATTTATCACCAATCAATTTCAGAAGTTGTAAATCACAAAGGTACGCGCGCAAGAACCGGTATTTCAAAGTGCCTACACACAGCCACATTTCACAGCTTACACAAAACACTCAAAAGCAATTTTGTTTCACTTCCTAAAAATGCTTTAATCCCGGAATTGCCACCAATGGCACAATTTTGATATTTCCAATAGAATAAAGCACATGTATCAAAGCAAGTTGTCTGCATCTGTAAACACTAAATGATTATAAACAAAAAAATTTCTTTCTTGCATTGGTGAGTTAATTATTTCCCATTTATTATTTGAAATAATAATTTTAGAGATAATAAGCCTAAAATTTTCAAGAAGAGATTTGCCTTTGCATGGAAATAAATTATGGGAATGGGAGGGGAATACAGACATACTTTAAGCGTTTTCAGGTTTGTTCTGAATGCCATTTGGTGGGTGGGATAAGAAGTTCTAGATGAGTCAGGCTTCATCACTGAACTACACTCAATTCATCTTTTAAAGTAATTTCTGTATCACAGTTTCCCATCCAGACTCAGCATTTATCAATTGTAATAATGAGACTACTGAAACAGGCTGCAGTGTATGGGGGCACAGGAGGTTTTTAACTAATCAGATAAAATAGAATATCCATTTCAGTGCAAAAGAGTAATGAATGTTCTAAATGTTTCTATTTCACAGAATTTAATTTGAATCGCAGAAACAAATAAGGAGTATTTCAAAACCCAGTATTGTCAATTTGAGACAGTTCTGTGAGCCCTTCAGTAGGTTTCATCTCAAGCCTCAATCTCAGGGGATGTCTCAGTGCAGAAGTCCCATTCACTCGTGTTGTTTGGGTCCTGGCTGTGCTGTATGTAGAGGTCTCACCTCAGTCATTACTTTGCAGATGTGGAAATGAAAAATTTCTAATACTAGAAACAATGATCAAACAATACAGACTGAACGTGAGCTAAATAATAGCCCTTTGGAAGTTATCTGCCAAAGAATTTACCATGAAAAAAACGTAGTTAACCATCAGCATCACAAAGAGTTATGTTCATGGCAAGTGTGTGTGGTTTTGGGATGAACCCCGGCCCCAGAAGACGTACCAGGTACTGAGGGGGGTCTGCGGGGAGTGGGCGGAGGTGGCCGAGAAGGTCTGGGAGGTCGAGCAGGTTTGCAGTTCCCATTGGTGAGTAAGGGAGAATCACTGCCATTAACAGTCTTGTTTTCATTGGCAGCAGCATCTTCACAGCTTTCAAGGCCATTTGAGTTAGTCCTTTTGCAGGAAAAGATAAAAAGGAGGACTGTTGTAATAGCGTGTGGATGATTAAACTTCATGAAGAGACTGGAATGTAATAGTTATGTCTAGGTGAGATTCTTACAGACATCATAAGTCTAAACACCTATACACCTGTATAAATATACTAAGAGTTTATCTCCTGAGGTATGTGAAACCTCAGCCCGTGAAAAGGTTGTGAAACAGATGTATATAACATCCCTCACTGAAATCTCCTCTTTCATTTTCCCAACTCGATACACCTGCCTTTAGGCCCAGGCCCAGGATTTTGCTCAGTTATTTCCCCCACTTGTCTCTAATGAGATGAAAAGGTGACAAAGACCTGAGAGCAGCCTGGGTGCATTTACTCCACAAGGCTGGCATGTGCTCACAACACATAGAATGCTCTACATTTTTAGAGAAGACCAGACATTTTTAGAAATACACCAATTTCCCCCCCTAAACTCAATTCTGGAAAGACCAGAAGAATTTAGAGAATTTAGAACAGCTCTGAATATAAGCTTCTCAACTTTAGGAGAAGTTCACCCATTCTGTAGCACTCAGTTCCACTGAGCGGTGTATTAGTCTGGTCCATCTGTAGCTCCTTGAACAGAGTTACAGGCATCTACAAGCTTTACCTGTGAAGTGTTTTATCTTCAGAATATGTTGAGCAAAACAAAAGGATTGTCAACCAAAATTCTAGTGGATTGACAGGCCAAGTACTTAGGTCATCAGTAATAAAGCCACAGGTTATGGTTTTAGCCCCGTACCGCAAAAATTAGCCTACTTTACATGAGCAGAAAATAGAGAGCAGTAGGTAAGGCTGAGTGAGTGACAAACCACTGAGGACCAAGCAGAACCAGGCATATTTGGCGTCAATAACATTGTGGAACACGCTGTTGCTCTGTACCAGGTGTGGTGCACACAACTCAGTCCGTACCACAGGAACCACAAAGTAAATGACTCTGAAAACGTGCACAAGCCAATAGTGATGTGCAGTTGGTAAGAGCTATGGCCCGGGTCTTCCTCAGGCCCAGGAAGCAAAGCGGTGGTGTTTGAACATCAAAGGTAGAGGGGTCACCTTTTATCTTTAGTGTGTTTGCCCAGTTGGCTTATCAATGCATATCAAAACATTGTTACACGTGTAACAATAACCACCGTTAAGACATATTCCAGGTCGTTTACATGATCCTCAAAATGGACCTTTAATGAATACCAAAGACCCCACTGGTTGATAATAAAACCAAATCAACTATTATTATTATACTACCACACACTCGGGCACTGTGAATACCCAAGCATGGAAACATTCTTCTGAGCATGAAGGAAACAGAAAAAAAACCCTTTCATGGGAAGACTTTAGATGACAGAGATAAGAGAGTTATGATCTATTAACAAAAACAGTGAAATTTAACTTCCCTACTCCAGATGTCATCCAAGAGTGATGTGCATTTCACAGCTTAGTACTGGGAGCTAATTAAAGTAGCACAGTGCTCACTGCAGGTTAATCCACCAGCAAGGATGGTCCCACTTTTATCCTACCAAGCAGCAGGGCACATAATCCGATATCGACCTTTAAACACCACAACTGCTAGACAGCTCTTGGTATCTTCTTAAAGCTAAATATAATTCTGATACCTCCATGCTATATAACAAAACAGGGTAAAAATAACCAGTGCCATTTACTCACCAGTGGGATTATTATACTATTTTATTTATATTTTACTTTGGTTAATCACTGGGAAAAGGATGACGAAGGGAAAAACCCAAAAGATCAGTCAGGTCTGGAGCCAAACTGCAGCCAGAAGATGGGGCTCATATGGAAAACAATTTAACATGTTAATGTCCAACAGCACAGTATTTCTGTTTAGGACATGCTCAGATCTTAACAGGCACTGTTGCAGGGCATACCCTGAAATTTTTCAATTGTCTTCTTTATAAAACATATAATTCCTCTTTCAAAACTGCAAACGCTAAAAGGCAGTATTAAAATTTAAAAAAAAAAAAAATCTTACCGTGTATCATTCTTTACTTTGGAGCCGTCGTTCTGTGTGGGACCTTAAATATCAAAAAGAAAAGGAAAACAGAAGTATAAGCAACATTCTGAATCATTTCCAAGAAAAGAAGCAGTCTTTAACGCTCACATTTTTTCAAATGTGGAGGTGATACACTACGTGCTGCTTATCTACTGCCTTATTTCACACTCTGTACATTTCACGTGTCCCTCTACATGTGCCTGTATGCATTTGTTTAAAACCACTGCCACTGTGAGGAATATTTTCACCTTATGAAAGACAGAACAGGATATCATTGGACTGTACGAAAATGACACACCCTCTAGATGTGCCTGTATGTATGCATTTGTTTAAAACCACTGCCACTGTGAGGAATATTTTCACCTTATGAAAGACAGAACAGGATATCATTGGACTGTATGAAAATGACACAAGTTTGATAACACTGTCCTCTCTTTGTAGCAGCACCAAGCAGCTTTCTCCATTCTTCAACTGGAACTGGCTTTTCATGTTCTCTCCCTTTTGAAGGATAACAGGCAGAGCAGGAAAGGCAACAACTTCTCTAAAACCTTCTCTCTGGTTGGCCAACGAGCAACCGCAGGGGCTTTATCTTCTGGGGCTCTCTAGCCTGGACCCTTCCCTTTCTCTGTAAATTATTTAGCATAAAGGCATTCAAGCAGGTAGAAAATATGGCAGCCCTCCAAACTGAATTACAGCCGCTCCGCCCACATTTGCAAACATTTTGTAGCTGCTTATTCAGCCAGCTTGGAAATATTTGGCTTTTGTGCCAGCATTTGCAACACTTGAATACGCAGCACATAACTGCTCATTCATGTAGACAGCACAAATCATAGAATCATAGAATCATAGAATCATAGAATCATAGAATCATTCAGGCTGGAAGAGACCCTTGGGATCATCGAGTCCAACCATCTCCCCTACTCTACAAAGTCCTCCCCTACACCATACTTTATTTCCATTGAATTAAATAAATGTCATTAACAAAGAAATCAGTTATCATTTCTGACAGGAACTATGTAGAGATCTAAGCCAAAGACAAGGATGTAGCCATGTAAAGGCTTATGATAATTGCTGTTAGTGGCCTGGGCACAGAAGGGGTTTTAATCCCAGAAACAGAAATCATAACTTAGAAGCTACTCAATAAACACTGTATTTGCCCATAAGTACCTTTAGCTTGTACAATAAGAATGTGTCACGCTGATTGAACTCTCCTCCTGTGCTCCAGTCCCCTGTCATCTGGAAACCCTCCGCTGAACTCCTGGGCTTGGGATGTCAACTTCTGTCTGCCCTGTCCAGCCCAAACCTGTATCCAGGACTCAGTTCCACTACCTGCGCGCCCTTTTCTACTTGCTACCACCTCTTTCTCAGTAGGTGAATTTCAGGAAATGGAAGAAAGTACAGATGAAACCTAAGTATTGCATCAGGGGAAGATGTGTTACTCTCAGTAGGTACTTCTCTGGCCACCCCTCAGCCCTGCTCCACAAGCCCTAGGAAATCTCAGCATCCGTTTTTTTTTTTTTTACCAAAAAATCCCACACCCTCAGATAATGTGATCGGTCCTTTCAACAAGATGGAAGAAAGATGGACTAAAAGCTTTAGGAAATAATGGTTACAAAGCCAGTGTGTTAATTTCATTTTCCTATGATACTTAAGACGGAATCTCAAAGCAACTTCTTTTAGGCCTTTAAAAAACCCAAACAGAATCCTAAAAATGCCCAATAAATTGCTTGCCTTGTCTCCCCAATGCTGCCTGCTGGAGAAATAACCTCCTATCTACTTCTGCTCTACAATGTACCACACCCTCAAAGATGCTCCGTTGCCTGTCCTGCACCAATGGAATTAAAACCCCTTACTTTTTATTGTAGTGTAATTACACATTTTATATGTACTTAAGATTTTCAGTTAAACATAGTACTAGTTATCTGAAACTGATGACATCAACTAAAAAGAACAGTGAATCCCTCTCTGCAGTACTCCACAGGGAACAAAATCTATGAAAACATTTATTTAAATGAGATTTTAAGAAAAAACTAATATAGACCCACATCTCCTAGGTACTCCACAGGGAACAAAATCTATGAAAACATTTATTTAAATGAGATATTTTTAGAAAAAACTAATATAAACCCACATCTCCTAATAGGCAGAATACTTATGATGAGGGTAAGATCAAACTAACTTATTCTATATTCTTTTCTGTTTATGATATTATTAAACATTCAGGGAAGCTACAGGCTTTCATTAAAGTTTGAGATTTGCTACATATAAGTTAGTAAAGTCCAGAAAATAAAAATGCTGATCTTATTTTCATTACAGTAAGGCTGAAAAGCTTCACCGTGGGCTATGATTCCACCTCAAATAAAAATGTGAAAAAGTCCTGGCCTTTACAAACAGAAAGTTATAGAAACCGCTGTTATTATGATTATTAAAACATTATGTTAAAGTTTCCATAAAAAAAAAAAGCTGCTTTGTATGCCAAATAAATGTAGATGGTACATTTGAATTGAAAGTCACTTACTTCTTGTACTTGAGGCCTCTCCATTGGTCAGGAGCTCAGGATCCACCTGCATCCCATCCAGACAGACAGAGAGATCTCCCACCACCTCTGCAGGCTCTCGGTCACCAACAAGATGCAATGTCACCACCACCTGCTCAACTGGAAACGTACAGAAATAATGGGAGTTTATCTTACTACATGACAGAAAAAAAAAAAAAAAGTGTGTTTTATTCAAGAAGCCAATCACAGACCACAGAGATCAAGGAAAGAAAAAAAACAAAACCCAAACAAACCACAGAATGACAGCTCGGTCTTTTCCTAATTTTCTATGTTTTGTGTGATAAAGTTAATCATTTCCAGACACCAGTAAAAAATTATTATTTCTACAGAGAGGGGAAAACTGAAGCATAACCTTATTGCTGCCTAAAGCAAGGATTATCGTTCCAGCAGAGATTGAGTCAAATGTTTCTGCCCACATTTCTAAAGCAATTAATACACCTGTCCTCAAAAACCTGTCGTTAGGAAATGTAATTCACCTTATTCTTCCTACAAAGCAGGTTACCAATTCTATCTTCTAATTAAAATACTTCACACTTATCTAACGACATCAACATTCACATTCAGAATGTGAAGATTTTGCATCATATCCCCAGAACAAAAATATTTTCAGGGTAAATCACTGTTTTTCAGTGAAACAGGACTGTAAATAAATGTTCTTCATTAAATGGTTTGAAGCAAAACCCAATGAATTGCAGCAGGGGATGTGGTGTGATACAGAACAATTTTCCCCCAGATCCAGCAGGACAGTAACACTCTGCCAGGAGAATGTCTTACTACACTTATAACACGCTGCATTTCCAACGCCCACGTCTGAAAGTGTAGAATTCTGCATTTCTCTCTCAAGCTCCACAGGAGCACACGCTGCCCAACAGCTCACTAGTTCCAAACCTGTCGTTAGGAAATGTAATTCACCTTACTCTTCCTACAAAGCAGGTTACCAATTCTAATTAAAATACTTCACACTTATCTAACGACATCAACATTCACATTCAGAATGTGAAGATTTTGCATCATATCCCCAGAACAAAAATATTTTCAGGGTAAATCACTGTTTTTCAGTGAAACAGGACTGTAAATAAATGTTCTTCATTAAATGGTTTGAAGCAAAACCCAATGAATTGCAGCAGGGGATGTGGTGTGATACAGAACAATTTTCCCCCAGATCCAGCAGGACAGTAACACTCTGCCAGGAGAATGTCTTACTACACTTATAACACGCTGCATTTCCAACGCCCACGTCTGAAAGTGTAGAATTCTGCATTTCTCTCTCAAGCTCCACAGGAGCACACGCTGCCCAACAGCTCACTAGTTCCAAGCTGCATGGAATAACACAACATACCCCTATAAATCTAGTTAGGACAAAAATAACTGTACACATTGCCAGGTCTAGCACCAGGAAAAGATCAGCTTTCATTTTTAAGCTGTCTAAGAGGAAACACTCTTCTCTTAAATTAGGCTTTCACTCTTGCACATACTAGCAAAGTGAAAGATACCAGGTTTTTAGTGGCACCAGAGCAGGCTGTGTACAGTGAGAACAGATTACACTGTAAACGCGGGAGGAAGCTCATAAAGAGAATCTATAGCCACAAAAGGAATTTTTGAGGCCACCTACAGAGTTGCACAGACACGGTAACAGAGAATTCCTGACAAATCCTGCAGCATCCTAAGGTACTGTTAACCTTCTACTTACGTTTCATACTGTTTGATTTCAAAGTCTCATGAATATCCAGAGCAGCACTTCCCAGAAGGACATCCGATTTTAACGTTTGATGGCTCCAGACTCGAAAGTTTAATTTACTTAGAGGAGTGACAATTCTGAAAAGCAAAAGTTGAGCACTGTGTAAAGGCACTCGTGGGCAGATGAAAGCTTGTGAACAGAGCAATCTACTTCACTGTCACTTAAAAGTATTTATAAACAGAGAAATAACAGTGGTAACACCAAACCGTTTATAATTAGTACATTCTAGTATGCAGTCATGTTTCTATGTCATGTAAATCAAGACTGTTGCAAGATTGTTCACAGACTGAGTACATTTTTTATTATTACTATTTTAAGGGAAACATCTATCGAAAAACTAAAAAACTACCAGCTCACAACTGGCATCTGAGTGTAACCAGGATTAGAAAAAAAGACCAATTATTGCAGGTTCACATTTCCTGAGTATTAAGGAATTTTTCACACAGAGAGGGAAGACAAAAAGTTTTTTCTGAAGAGGTTATCAGAAAATTTTAGGACATCCCATAAAAAGGGAAATACTTGGAAATACTAAACATTATTCCAAGTGTTTTTAGAAGATGACTGTTCTCCTAGTAAACCAACACATACTTACATTATGACAAAGAAGCAGGAATATATTAAAAATTATTTAACATTTTATTAGTATACTTCTGGTTTCACAGTGCTTTTACTGAGAACAAAAGAACACGCTACATCTTCTTAACAATCCAAAAGCAGGATGTATAACTGCTACAGGGTGCTAATTACATTGCATCCTTGGAGAACTGGTTCCAGGTTTACTACCAGAAAAGTCCCTCATGGACCCTGCTATCACAATGGTTTCTCTTCATTCCAAAGCAAGTAATTCAAAGAAGAATTCCACCATTTATTTCTACCTCCCTTTCACCTCCCCGAGGCTTTTCTTTAATTTTTACTTGTTTTAGTGATACAAAAATCCGAACTTCATTCAAAACATGGGGCCAGAACCTGAACAATGCCTTCCAGGAAGCCAGCACAGCATGGCCATGGCCATGGAAGCCTCTACAAAGTCCAAACAAGAGCCAAAGCTCTCTTGGCAAATCTTGGAGAGCAAAGGAACTCTTCCAGTCTTAAGAAAGCCAGAAAAGCCTAGATTTTTCTTTTTCCTTATTACAAGTATTCTGACAACAGCAGAAAGATGAGCAACACAAACTAGTGTCACAACTAAGAATGGACTCATAAAACTTTTTTTTTTCCTAGAAAGTTGCTCCAGAGGTAAGATATTCACCTGTCCCTCATGCTCCCTTGGGTTTTTAGAAGCTTTACATTGGAGAAACAAATTTACGTCACTATCAGTTGCTGACACTGTATGAACACATTTCTTTTTCTTTTTTTTTTTTTAAAAATCCCTAACAGCAACTGCAAAGTAATTTTTAATACTGATATTCTTTTTCTGTAAGGAACATTCTAACATTCATTTATTTTAAAATTATTTTAATGGTGAGAAATGGGTATTACAAATGACTGCTTATTTTCTTAGTGGATAATTTCACTCGTATCTGATTGATAAATCCAGACTTTGACAGTCCATCCCTTCAGAATACACAGCTCCACCTCACACCCAGCAGAGGAACATACCCAGTTGCAGAAGTCATTATTCTTTTCCTTTTTGTTCTCAATCTGAATGTAAGCAACTGTGTCAAAATACTTCCTCAAAACCAACTCACTTACTCCACTAATTTCCATGTAGCATTAGTGTAATCTCCATTGCAGCTGATGTGCATTGGGTGTCTCTGTTCAGCACTTACTGAACAACAGCAAAAGCCACCCGTGTGTTATTGTGTGGACTCGCACTGTGCAAGCCACAAACATTTCAATTTTTAACAAAAATAAAGGCAAGATTTAAAAGCTAAAAGAAAATCCTGCTTTTGCACATTGATACATATGTAAAGCACAAGGTTTTCTTTTTCTTAAAATACTTCTTGCAGGGGAAAGCAAAGTAAATAGTAGTAACTAAAACCTCATAATCATCTGGATTACAAGAACAAGCACAAAACAGGTTTTCATCAGGCAGGAATGTTCAAGGTGCCTTAAGAATAATCATCTAGAATTTAAGCATAAACAAATGTGCAAGCACGGGACTGACCTTTATCCCAGTGTTCCACGTGACACATTCTTAAGAGAAAACTAAATTTTATACAAGCTGCAGATCAGTTTTTTTTTCTGCGCTTTACCTCAAAACACAAATCCTGAGCCAAGCAAACATCAACAGCTGTGTCCATCTTGACTCTAATGTTAGTTACGTGCTCTGAAGACACAAATTCATCAGGAATTTTGTACTTGTGATTGAATTCAGACATGCAGAAGCCCGAGATAACCACCTGTGCTACAGTACAGTACCCAAAAAAGCGGTGCACAAAGAACAGCTGCACCCTCATGGCATTTCTGAAACACCGTAACCTTAAATATGACAACAAAAATGTGCACTTTTAATAGCAAATTACCTTACTTTCCTTACTCTTTACAGCATTAAAGCTCCTCTGATATGGCACATACATTAATACAGAATATATTCCTTGATAAGCACTGGGTCCACTCCACAGAGTATAATGCAAATGTTTGTAAATTCACATTCCAGACTGTAGCACATTTGCTCCAAATATTACACAAATATCTTTATATCACGTATACTTTGCTTAAAATAAAACAGCAACCCCTTATATCCATTGTCAGTTGCGCTAATCTAGTTAAAATAAATTGGAAAACAAACCCATCAAACCTACACTGTGAGATGCTGTTTCCACTTTGGGCTATTTGTATTGTTGCATTTTTCTGTCTTCTTTGACTGTCCATCTACTGAGACTTCCACATAAGGGCTAGGTCCGAACCATTTATTTTTTTCTTTTAGTTTTGCTGAAATAACTGTTAAGGAAGAGAAAAATTGCAATTAATATTTTTCAGTTGTGTGTTTCAGTATTCAAGTATCAGGTCATTGATACCTGACAATAACGCTCAAGGAAAAAAAAATACATTATATGGATAAAAATGTTCTTGCATTAAAGATCATTTTATACAACGCTAAAGCTCACACAAATGCCTAAAACTTGCAACAGCACTTCTGTAACATCAGACACTATAATTAATAATAATCAGGATAAGATCCACAGAAGCGTTTTGGTGATTGAAAGTAGAAAACATCCTCTTCAACCTCCTCGTCTATCACCAGCCAAGAGAATTCCGGGAGTTTATTACATTTGCTCGTTAAAAAGCTCGAAACAAGATCTGTCTCTCTCATTGAGGAATCATGGAAAACTTCCACCACTTCTGCTGAAAAGAACATCATCAGGAAAAAGAACTTTGTGTTGTTTCCTATATCAAAGCAAACTCACAGAAGAGCTAACCTGAGGCAAAACTCCTTGAAAGTTCCAAGACCTACCTATTGTTCTAGAAACAAACCTGGGCAGGACGCACAGCTCTAGAGCTTTAATTTGGGGGTGGAGTAGGGTGGCTGTTTTGTTTCTTTGGTTAGTTGTTTTGAGGAGTTTTTGGGTTTTGTTTTTTTTTAAACATTCATCATCACAGACTGCAACACTCCTGTCTCTCCAAACGCTCTGTTGCCTCCATCCAGCCCGAGCAGCAGCCGTGTGCAGGTGTCTGCCCCTGACATCCCACTCTCAGATTAGGGGTGTTCCTGGATTCCTGGGCAACCCTAAACTCACAAAACAGTACTTAAAACCAAGAAATTATCGTTCCTGATTACCAGTGAACTCCACTCTGTTCTAACAAATCACGCCTCGGTCTCCGGTGTTTTCAGCCCCCCGTTCAGCTGCACTACAGCCTTAAAAAAAGGATGACTAATTCAAGCCCATATGGCTAATCTCCCTTGATTCCCTTTATAGTCTATGCTCCTTTAGAGATTTAGAGAAGTAGCTTAGTATAAACTGCTCTCAACTGCTCCCAAGGGAAACTCCTTATATATTAGAGACAACTTACAGAAATTAACTTCAGTGAGCTAACATTAATTTTGCACAAATAGTTCCCCTTCCCTTTGTGTCTCCAGTACGTCTACACCACAGCCTCTCAGGCCTCACCACCACCAGTGATCCCAAAGGCACCAAGACCTGCTTCGAGGCAGCACAAACCAGCCATCTTGTACCTACTTTCCAGGTTCTTCCCAAACGACCTGAAAGTTCATTTAAAACTAACAAAAACAGCACAGGATGGAGCTGAGGGTAGAGCAGGTGTGGGGGGGGGGATGACTGTTTACAGAAATGTCTTCAAAAAGCAAATGCCTGCCTGCACAGGGAGCAGTTTGTTTGCAGACTGTGCCGGAACTTCTACAGAAACTAACATCCATTTAAACACCTTAATAATCTCAATTCTAAACACTGATACTGGACAGAGTGAACCATCAGCACATTTGCTGAGGACACAAAACTGGGAGGGGTGGATGCCACCCCAGAAGGCTGTGCCACCACACAGTGAGACCTGGGCAGGGTGGAGAGCTGGGCAGAGAGGAACCTGATGACATTCAACAAGGGCAAGTGTAGGTGCTGCACCTGGGGAGGAATAACCCCTGCACCAGGACAGGTTGGGGGTGACCTGCTGGAGAGCAGCTCTGAGGAGAAAGACCTGGGAGTGCTGGTGGACACCAGGATGCCCATGAGCCAGCAATGGGCCCTGGTGGCCAAGAAGGCCAACGGCATCCTGGGGGACATGAAGAAGAGCGTGGCCAGCAGGTGGAAGGGAGGTCATCCTGCCCCTCTGCTCTGCCCTGGGGAGGCCCCATCTGGAGCACTGGGTCCAGTGCTGGGCTCCCCAGTTCCAGAAGGACAGGGAACTGCTGGAGAGGGGACAGCAGAGGGCTACAAAGATGATGAGGGGCCTGGAGCATCTCTCTTAAGAGAAAAGGCTAAGGGACTTGGGCCTTCTTAGTCTGGAGAAGACTGAGGGGGCATCTGATCAATGCTTATAAACACTTAAAGGGTGGGTGTCAGGAGGATGGGGCCAGTCAGTGGCGCCCAGTGACGGGACAAGAGGAATGGGCACAAACTTGAACCTAGGAAATTTCATCTAAACATGAGGTTGAACTTTTCTGTGAGGGTGGCAGAGCCCTGGAAGAGGCTGCCCAGAGAGGTGGTGGAGTCTCCTTCTCTGGAGACCTTCAAACCCCACCTGGACACCTTCCTGTGCAACCTGCTCTGGGTGACCCTGCTCTGGCAGGGGGTTGGACTGGATGATCTCCAGAGGTCCTTTCCAACCCCCATAACATTCCATGATTCTGTGAGACATTTCTTCACTTCCTTTATGTGAGTGAGGCCTTTAATGGAGCAGGTCTTGGAGAGCAATCACCACTTCAATCCACACCAACATGGAGGATCTACCTCTTTCTACACCTTTTCCATTTTTCTCTCCAACATCAACCTGCAGATTTCTCCTAAAGTCTCATGTCCTACTGAGAACAAACAAGCTTGTGACCTCAGTGAGACAGCTAGAGCCAGTGCAACTACTCAGTTCCAACCTCCTTTCTAGTCTAAAGCTTTCGCATCTATTTTTGACAACTCTTTTCATGCCCCCACAGTATCAACTTTGTGAAACTTCTGCGCATACCCACAGATCTTCCCACTGAGGGGGCAAAATTTACCCTTGATGCTTCTGAACACAGACGTGCAAGCATCCACAGATCTCCCATTCCCAGGCTCCAGCTTTTACACTTCAGGAAAAATTGTCAGAGAGCAGAAGTGAGGAAAACTTGATAATTAAGATTTAACTGCTGCTCTGCTGGTGGAGTAATACAAAAAGCAAAGCATGGCATATAAATCCTTTCCTGTGCCATCTACACATGCTCAATTACACTGATATTCTCACAAACATTTTTTATTAATGCTCCTCTACAGTGGCGGACATAAAAACAAGAGAGAGGCAATAAGTCAAATGTAATGACCAGCAGTTGAGATTCACGTCGCTTGAGATGTAAGAAGCCCATCAGGAGAAAGTGTTAGATTTGGTTTTATGGCAAGTGTTAGGAACTGAAAGCAGCATCGCGTTACGTTATTACATTATTACTTTTCAAAGAGAATTGGTTTGTTCAATTCACTTAACAGCATTCAAAATGTAATATTCCTTTTTTAAACACAAAAATGTATCATTTCAAAATGCATTTTAGATAAAATCCTGAATAAAATAGCTATATTCCTGCCAAGTAATGATGGCATAACAGCATCCATTTTATTGTGCGATTTCTCTTGGGTTTTGTACAATTCAAAACGTCCTGAAATACAGCATACGAGTAGCTTCTGTTCAACTGGGGGAAAAACACTTCTACATTTGTAACCAGAAAAGATAAATCCTTTCAAAGGGCTTACCAGTGATCTGAAGCTGTGATTTCATGGAAAACCCACTGGATTGTCCTGATCTGGATCCACTGCCAGCCATAATATGGGCTGGATCTTGAATCTGGAGAGAGAGACAATGTAAACAATTGAATCCTCCGAAACCCACAAATTAAACAAGCTGGGTTTTGACCTGTAGATACATTACACAGCAAACAAACCCACCACACTTGTTTTCTTTCCAGTTCCTTTCTATTTCCCTAAAGTACAGAAAATAGTTTACAAAGGGCTTAGTCTCTGCTCTTGCATGATCTGTAAATACTTATGTTCCAGGCAAAAGAGGTCTTTTGATTTTGTCCCTTCAATTTGCAAATTAACCAAGAGTGAATGATGTTCTCATTGCAAGGTTTGCTGTACCTCTTATGCCTGAAAATATCTGCCTATTTTGATGTCGCAAGTCCTGGGTAAGAAGTTTATCTTCCCATTATTACTTAGTCCAACATTACTTGTTTTTTTTTTTTTTAAAAAAAAAAAAAGGAAGAAAACCACAATCCCCAAGCATAAGAAAGGCTGAAAATTACTTATGTTAAAAAGTTAATTTCAAATTTAGAGAAACCTACTTCTGTATGTCTTTTGTTTTCATTTGGTCAGATCAAGTCTACAGAGGCTGTAATTCTACCAAGCACTTCACTAGACAAGGAAACCCATCGCTTTCAAAGAGGGTAAAACAACCTCCATTTACAGCCCAACCTTCCCTCTGACCAGCCCCAGCCCCTCACCTCTGTGCCCATCCTCATCCTCCCAGCACCAACCCAAGCAAGCAGATACTCTACTACTATTCTCTGAACTTAATGCAATTCAGTATTTAGGTTTGGGAAGCAGGGGGGAGAAAGTGGACGACATGCATCTTAGAGCTTCACAGAAATGGCGTGGTATTTTATTAAACATAGACATGACTTTGGAAATATCCAGATATCCTGGTCTCCTATTCAGTTTTAAAATACATTTTGAGCTCAACCTCCCTTACTGACTAAACTAGGTATATATCAGCAAATCCTCTACAGGAGATTACACACTGGAAAATGAATGGGCTATTGAAGACTCCAAATTACCCACTGGATACAACTTCCAGACTACTCACTGCATCCTCCTCATGCCATGGTCCCTCCTTAGTGCCCTGTCTTCTGTGGTCATAGAATCATAAAATGGGTAGAGTTGGAAGAGACCTTAAAGATCATCTCATTGGAACCCCCTGCCCTGGGCAGGGACACCTCCCACCACACCAGGTTGCTCCAAGCCCCCTCCAACCTGGCCTTGAACCCCTCCAGGGATGGGGCAGCCACAGCTTCTCGGGGCAACCTGGGCCAGGCTCTCACCACCCTCACACCAAAGAACTTCTTCCTAATATCTCATCTCAATCTCTCCTCCTTCAGTTTGAAACTGTACCCCCTTGTCCTATGACGTCCCTCCCTGATCCCGAGTCCCTCCCCATCTCTCCTGGAGCCCCTTGAGGGACTGGAAGGGGCTCCAAGGTCTCCCCGGAGCTTTCTCTTCTCCAGGCTCCAGCCCTCAGAGAATCCACGTGGCCTCCTCTGGCCCCGCTCCAACAGCTCCATGTCCTTCTGCTGTTGATGGCCCCAGAGCTGGAGGCAGCACTGCAGGGGGGTCTCCCCAGAGGGGCAGAAGCCCCTCTCCCTGCTGGCCACGGGGCTGAGGATGCAGCCTGGGATGCAGAGGGGCTTTCTGGGCTGCAAGTGCCCATTGTCAGCTCACGGCCAGCCTTTCACCACCCAACACCCAAACCCTTCTCCTCAGGGCTGATCTCAATCCATTCCCTGCCCAGCCTGGGTTTGTACTTGTCCCAACCCAGGTGCAGGACCTTGCACTTGGCCTGGTTGAGCTTCATGAGGGTGTCAGGGGGCCACCTCTCCAGCTTGTCCAGGTCCCTCCGGACGGCACCCCTTCCCTCCAGCCTGTTGCCCACCCCACACAGCGTGGTGTGTGTTGGGTGCCCACATAACCTACTGCAAAACAACTCATCCACTGGTCTGTGTCTGAGCTCTCTCTCTGGGTTCAGCTGCTCTGGCCAAGGGGCTGGCTGATCCCTCAGCCCACGGCCCCACAGCTTCGCTCAGCCATCACATCTGCCTCCCAAAGCAGATCAAACACGTGCCAGCTCTCAGGTCATCTTCTGCACACAACATTATTTCCAACAAGGAAAGTAACATGTTAGCTTAATGCTGATATCTCTATCTTGAGTACAAAAGGCTTTATGTATTAATTTCCAACTGATAACGGCACAAGAGTCTACACAAGTGCACGTCCTGCCCTCTGCACGCCACGCAAACCAGAATTTATACAAGGAGAGCTGGGCTGAATATCACAACTTTGTGTTGAGAGGCTGGAATCTGAAGCAGAACTCCGTATATTGTGACAATTGCTGCGAAACTGGTAATTCCGCAGGTATTTCAAAAGTGGTAAAATAGGAAGTTCTTGCAGCCTGCAGGGTGCTGAGGCCAGTGTCACTACTGGAGAACATGACACCACACAAAAAAGTACTAATGACGGGCTTATATAGTACAGAGTGTTAGGAGTGGAGTTCCGTACCGTTAATTACTAGATTCCAGCCGTGAATCACACATCTAAATCCTGCTACAGTGAAAAAGCTTTTAATACAGGTATTTCAAAAGCAGACTAATTTTAAAAGATTTAGAGGACAATTCTTAATTCTAATCCTGTGATTAGTTCTACCGAACTCATTTGGTATCCTTTATGCTTTAAGAAAGCAGCTGAATAGTGATGAGCGTAATACAGAGGTACTGGATGGTCTAAAGGAGCTGCATTTACAGAAGAGCTGCTATTTTCCACCTGGAGAAACAAAACTGCACATAATAAAACCACTATTACCGATGATAATTTTCAACTGAAGCACATGCTAAAGCTAACTTTCATTTCTAAATCTGCAAAATATACTCATGAAAACGATTTTATTAATATTTGATCATTTTCATTGAGAACATGCAGAAAACAAATTCTAGCAGCTTAATTGCATCTAAAATGACTGTCCCCCAAACACCTGTTGAGTCAGCAGAGATGGGCCAGTGTGTGCATAGTGAGACATAGTTCTCACTAACAACTAAAGTAAAACATCCTCCCAATACTCCTAAAAAAATACTTCTGATCATCTTAGGGCCATGGAGATGCTGGGAGGAGCCCCTCTGCTGGGAGGGGGGGCTGAGAGAGATGGGGAGGTTCAGCCTGGAGAAGAGAAGGCTCTGGGGAGACCTTGGAGCCCCTTCCAGTCCCTCAAGAGGCTCCAGGAGAGATGGGGAGGGACTCTGGATCAGGGAGGGGAGCCATAGGATGAGAGGGAAGGGTTTGACACTGAAAGAGGGGAGATGGAGCTGAGATGTGGGGAAGGACTTCTTTGGTGTGAGGGTGGGGAGAGCCTGGCCCAGGTTGCCCAGAGAAGCTGTGGCTGCCCCATCCCTGGAGGGGTTCAAGGGCAGGTTGGAGGGGGCTTGGAGCAACCTGGGCTGGTGGGAGGTGTCCCTGCCCAGGGCAGGGGGGGGCACTGGATGAGCTTTAAAGTCCCTTCCAACCGAAGCCATTCAAATATTCTATAAAAAAAAAACCAAACTACATTGCACAATGTTTAGTTCTCTCAGCTGCCATAAAGTTTCTAATTGTTTTTGAATAATAAAAATGAAGAGTCTTATTTTACTGCTTGTTTGCTCTTCACTTAAAGCAAGCTCCACTCGTTAACCTGGAAAAAAGAGAGCTTCAGGGGAAGAAGTAGCAAGCAACAATTTGCCCTGCACTTAACCCTAGTTCTCTTTTCATGTTTTCAAATATCTTCACCCCAAATATCTTCTCCCCTGAACTGAAAAAAGAAGCTGAAAAAGACTCATTAAACAGAATGGCTGGTTCCAAGCCAGGTCTCCAGCAAGGAATAATCACTGAGCTCTCCCTGCAGCTCCTCTCTCAGCTGGGCACTAATTGAAGTCCATTCCTTACCACACACGTATATGCTCCATCCATTTTGCTCATAACTCACAGAAATGCAATCAACTTTGATACCGCCCATCTCCGTCAATTTTTAGCTGGAATGCATCAGCAATTAAGAAAGTTTGCAGTGCAACACACAGGAAAAGGGGAAGAGAAGAGCACAGGATGGAACTGTACACCTCATTTTCTTAGCAAACAAGGCTAAAATACATTAACTAATCTAACAAGAATCCATGATGATTAATGAACTATACTTGGAAGAAGCACAAAGAGACGGCAAAACACAGTAATCCCACAAGTAACAGGCATTCCCTTGATTTCTACATTTAAGCTTAATTTTTAGCATTTAACTCCTCTTTGTTTATGTAACTAATGCACAAATTAAATCTGTTCGGTAAGAAACTACTGGATTAACAGCTACTTCTAATGGTAACACTGCATATGGTTTTAACTCAAAAACAGCCTGTGGCTACTTATAAACTTAATCACAAACTAAGACAACATACACTCTTCAATCATTATTAAAATATTTCTATTTAGTTTTATTGCCATAGAAACAATAGTTCAGATTCCATGAAAAGGAAATATTTTTATGGAAGACAAGCAGTTCTGTCAGCAACTGGATGTGACCAGGGAACATGTGTGAACACCAACAAGGATTTTAACTCTACTAGACCTTTGGAATCCCTTGCCAGTGGAAAGGAGTATAATCAGAGAATCAGAACTGGCCAGGGACTTTTCAGATCATCGAGTCCAACCATCAGCCTAACTCTGATAAAACCCATCACTAAACCATGTCTCCAAGCACTATGTCAACCCGTCTGGAGGCCTCCAGAGATGGTGCCTCAACCCCTTCCCTGGGCAGCCCAGTCCAAGGCTTCATAACCCTTTCTGTGTAAAAATTGTTCCTAATCTCCAATCTGAACCTCCCCTGGAGCAACTTGAGGCCATTTCCTCTTGAAGTGACTGACCCCCCCTGGCTACACCCTCCTTTCAGGGAGTTGGAGAGAGTGAGAAGGTCTCCCCTCAGCCTCCTCTTCTCCAGGCTCAACACCCCCAGCTCCCTCAGCCTCTCCTCACAAGACTTGTGCTCCAGACCCCTCACCAGCCCACTTG